ACATGATTTTATGTGAACAGAGGCTCTGTCAAGATTAAATGTTGTGATACAGCAGCCAAATGCTCGGCAATCTGAAAATGCCATGGCATATGATAATGCTGTATCCGCTGTGGGAAAGATCTGCCAATATCACCGTGATAGTATTGATTCTTCTCAGGTAGATTATGATAGTTGTTTTGGTTTCGCCATTGCACAATTACATGTGATTGCTTTTGATGATTCACAAGTTACCTTGTTTTGGTTTTATTAGGTACTTCCTGCGTGGTTGAACTGTTTGCCTATAAGCAATGATGTCATTGAAGCCAAAGTGGTTCATGAACAGCTCTGCTCAATGGTTGAGAGGTAAGCAATGGGTTTAGATTCTAATTTTACTTTCATTTTCCATTCCTTGTGACCATCTAAAACAGCTTTGATTGGTGATAAACTTGCAGGCAAGATGTGGACCTTTTAGGCCCCAATAACCAGTATCTTCCGAAAATTTTAATAGTTTTTGCCGAGGTTTGTTTTTTACGCTTTTCATAGACAATTTTCATTCTTTGATCTTTTGCATTATTGTACTCACAGAGAAATCAATGTGTATATCGGTGGCCAGGTGCTTACAGGGAAAGATGTGGTGACAGAAGAGACAGCAGGTCGTATGATAAATATATTAAGGCAACTTCAACAGACACTGCCACCATCGGCGTTGGCCTCAACATGGTCAGCGCTGAAACCCGAACAGCAACTCGCTCTCCAATCCATGCTTTCCTCCTAAAATCACTCCAATCCGTCTCTCTGTTTATTTTACAGTGTTGTGGGCTCTGTTTTCACCACAGAGCGTCGTCAGTTTTGCATTTATGTGTTTACAAAAGTTTTTCTTCTTTTGCATTTTTCATCAAATTCTTTTGGGAGGGATGATGATGGGTCGGTCCGTCCTTCACAAGTTACAAAGTGAAAGTTTCTATCTTTATGGTAGGAAGTGTATATTAGGAGGGAAGGATGAAATTGTTAGTGAAAAATGTGTCATTGGGAAATTGGGTATGATTTCCCAAATACACAGGTTTGGTGTTGGTGTCGGTGTTGGTTTGGGTTTGAGAGAGGGATGAAGTTTTGGTGCTTTATACGAAGGAACTAAACAGAAATATTTGATTTTGAATTTTTGTTTTTGTACGCAATTGAGAATTTTGGAAGAATGATTCTTTTCTCTCATTGCCATTGTTGATTTGTACTCTTTTGGAACACTCTTTGGCCTTTTCTTAATAAAAGAAATGTCTTTTTGTTTTATTTAATTTTATTATACCGTTGTCGTATATGTGTCAGACAGCAAGTAAGCAGCTAAGCATGTTAATCAAATGTTTTTAAGTTTTGTCTGGAAGAATTGGTGCGTCGGCCAGGAGATGGTCACTCACTACAAAATGTTTGGACCCACTTGTTACATTTCTCATTTTTTTTTTCTTTTTTTTTTTTGGAGTAGTCCTCACTCACTACAAAAAGTCGCTTCAGGTTTCTATCTCAAAGATATAGAAATCCAATGAGAAGCCTTAGTTAAATTTTAAGTTAATCCATGTTAAAGCAATCACCCGTCTTCGACTTGGATGAACTAAACGTCAATGCCACCTGAATTGTCTTTGATCTGCCAAACCTCATTAAGTGATGAATCTCGAATTCGGTGATCGTATGCTTGACTTGAGATTCTCACCAATGGTTAGACCTTATTTCCCAAGACGTCTAGGTCAACACAAAATTTTCACTTGTGAGGTTATGATAAATTAAATATGACCCCTTTTGAAAGAAAACCTAGAGAGAGAATGTGTGTGTAATAGCTTTTTCTTTGTATATCATTCCGTGATTTAGAAATGAAGGATCGGATCCCTATTAATGAAAATTCACGTCCAAAACAGACGATGAAGAACTAACAATCTAACAGCCTAGAGTAAAGATTCATAATGAATGATATATGAACTTTTAGGATCAATTATAAGAGAATAATACATAAGAATTGTTGGTCGATAATTGAGTTTCTAATTAGGTTAAGGTTTGACGTATTAATTCATGATTCATATTAAGGTAGTTATTTGTCAGGAGGCACAAGTAGGAAGAGACAACTCATTATGTGGTAGCTTCTCTTGGTTTTCTATATAAATCAATTTTGTTGCTGATGTAAATAACAAGTTTCAGTTGATTAAAAAGTTTATATTTAGTTCTTGTCTTCTTTAAAAGAGAATGAGATAATTCTTTAAACTATTACTGTTTCTTCATTCTCTAGTGTCCCGAAATTCTTCTCGAACACTCAAAGAATTTTCCACAATATTTGTAGACGTCCCAAAATGTTCTGAAGCCTTGAGGGAAAAATTAAGACTCGTGGCATCTGCTTCGAAAAAGTTGTTCTCTCTTCGATATTTGATGGATGTAACGACTTAATTTGGTCTAAATTAATCATCTACTTGCATTTGTTAAAGGATAAATAAGCCATGTAACCTGAAACATTGTATAAATCTTACGTAACTAGAGTTGGATGACGGTTACATTTGATCTTGTTTTGTTTACAGAAAAACTGTTTTGATGCAAGTCAAAAGGGCGTATATATGTAATGATTATCTTTTAAAGAATCTGTAAACGAAGGCCCCAATCAATAATTGAAAGACTACCCATTTGATGTTTAGTCAGAAATTTTACAATACAAATATACAATAAAAATAAGGTTAAAAAAACAGAAGAAGCTAACACTACAAAACCGCGAGAAGCTGAGAGACAGTCAAAACAAAGTTAAACGCTAATGCACTCTTAGGAAAACTTATTTCAGAAAACAATCCATCAGTGAATAATAATATACATATGGTAGAAAATTAATGTCTTCTTCTGAGCCGCTTGCATGCTTCTTAGAGCTTAAAGTACCACAACCATGATTTTTCGGGAGGAGGTGGTGGATACATTCTTCCATATTTAGAGGGTGGTGGCGGTGGAGTTCTCTTGTAGTAAGAAGCGGCTTGAGGTCGAGGAGGAGGAGGTGGATACACTCTTCCATATTTAGAAGGTGGTGGCGGTGGAGTTTTCTTGTAGTAAGCAGGGGCTTGAGGTCGAGGAGGAGCATGAGGAGGGGAACGAGTAACCGGGGATGGAGGAGGGGAACGAGTAACCGGGGGTGGAGGAGAACGAGGAACCGGGGGCGGAGGAGGAGAAAGAGGAATCGGGGGTAGGGGAGGAGAAAGAATAACCGGGGGTGGAGGAGGAGAAAGAGGAACCGGAGGTGGAGGAGGTGAAAGAGGAATAGGGGGTGGAGGAGGAGAAAGAAAAACCGGGGGTGGAGGAGGAGAAAGGAAAACCGGGGGTGGAGGAGGAGAAAGAGGAACCGGAGGTGGAGGAGGAGAAAGAGGAACCGGAGGTGGAGGAGGTGAAAGAGGAATAGGGGGTGGAGGAGGAGATAGATTAACTTGGGGTGTTGGAGTAAATTGTAATAGCTTTCTGTTGTTGTTTCCATTAGCAACTGTGATTAAGATTGCCAAGAGAAAAAGTAGTGTCAAGGAAAACTTTTGGGACACCATTTTTCAGGTCAGTATTTTCTACTAATTGTTGTTAATATTCTTAAGAGACTTATATATAGATAGATCTTTCTTGTAAGCTCCTTAGAGGTTTCCCACTAACCTTATAAGATTTTGTCAAGATCACTGTTTATTAAGTATGAATTGGTCGGCTTAGCATTAGTCTCTTTTTTCTTATTGAGGCCTCCCTCTAAACATTAAGCTTACTTAAAGTCTTTAAAAAAGTATAGTGTGTTGAGTAAAATATTTAATTTTATTATTTCGTTGTCGTATAAGCACGATAAATGTGTCAGACTCTCAGACTCAGACAGCAAGTAAGCAGCTAAGCATGTTATTCAAATGTTTTTAAGTTGTGTCTGGAAGAATTGGTGCGCCGGCCACAAGATACAAAATGTTTGGACCCTCTCATTACAGTTCTCATTTATATCACATGCCTTTTTTCTCACTCAGTACAAAAAGGTCGCTTCAGGTTTCTATCTCAAAGATATAGGCCCTTGACTTAGTTAAAATTTAAGTTAATCCATGTTAAAAGCAATTCTAATTTCTAAGCATCTCTCGAGTTTTGCTTGTGTAGCTTCAATCACGTCTCTGTCTTCGAATTGGATAAACTAAAGTCAATGTCACTCTGAATTGTCCTTGATCTGCCAAACCTCATTAAGCGATGACTCTCGAGTTTGGTGATCGTATGCTTGACTTGATCGCCTCTCACCAAACTCAACAATGATTAGGCCTTATTGCCCAAGACACCTAGGTCATCACAAAACTTTCACTTATGAGGTTGTGATAAATATGACCCCTTTTGAAAGAAAACCTAGAGAGGAAATGTATAATATTTTTTTCTTTGTATATCATTCCATGATGATTTACAAATGAAGGATCTCTCATCCCTTTTTATAAAAAAATTCACCTCCAGAACAGACGATGAAGATCTAACAATCTAATAGAGACAATGTAGTCATGTAGACGTCCATATTAAAGGATGAACAACTTTAGCTAGGCTAGGTATCAACGGATATATGAACCACCCTTCCCCAGTCTAAAGACTCGTGGCATCTGCTTCCAAAAAGGTGTTCTCGATCTCTTGGATATTTGATGGATGTAATGATCTAAATTAATCAACTACGTACTTGCATTTGTTAAACGATAAATATGCCATGTAACCTCAAACACTGTATAAATCTTACGTAATTAGAGTTAGATGACGGTTACATTTGATCTTGTTTTGTTTGTAGAAACACTGTTTTGATGCAAATCAAAAGGGGCGTATCTAATGTCAAAGAAGTCTCCAATTAATCAATAAACGAATTAAAGACTGCCCATTTGATGTTTAGTCAGAAATTTTAGAATATAAAAAATGGAAAAAGAATCAATACAATAAAAACAAAGTTAAAAAAACAGAAGAAGCTTCAGTCTCACTACAAAACCGCGAGAAACAAATAGAACAAATTCCGGTAAACTGAGAGACAGTCAAAACAAAGTTAAACGCTAATACACTCTTAATTAGGCAAACTTCTTTCAGATAATCAGTGAATAATATATATCTATATATATGGTAGAAAAAGAAAATGTCTTCTCCTGAGCCGCTTGCATGCTTCTTAGAGCTTCAAGAACCACAACCAAGATTTTCCGGGAGGAGGTGGTGGATACACTCTTCCATATTTAGACGGTGGTGGCGGCGGTGGAGATCTCTTGTAGTAAGCAGCGGCTTGAGGTCGAGGAGGAGGAGGAGGAGGAGGAGAAGGGGTAACGGGAGGTGGATAAACCGGGGGCGGAGGAGGAGAATATTTGTGAGATGTCAATAGCTTTCTATTGTCGTTTCCATTAGCAACTGTGATTAAGGTTGCCAAGAGAAAAAGTAGAGTCAAGGAAAACCTTTGGGACACCATTTTTCAGGTCAGTATTCAGTATTTTCTACTTATTGTTAATATTCTTAAGGTTTATATATAAGATATTTCTTGTAAGCTCTAACTTAGAGGTTTCCCACTAACCTTTTAAGATTTTGTCAAGATCATTGTTTTTTAAGTATAAATTGGTCGGCTTAGCATTTTAAAATTCTCTTCTTCTCTTATTGAGGCCTCCCTCTAAACATTAAGACATAAGTCTTAAAAAAAGTATAGTTTGTTGAGTAAAATATTCGCAGTTCCAAGCTGAGAAACAAACACATCATACAGTATTTTTGTCTTTTGTACAAAAAAAATTTAATACTAAGAAAAAAAGAAAATGGTGCGCACGCCATTAATACATGGAACCCACATAAAACCTCTGAATATCCGTAATTATAATAATCATATCCGTAATCCGTATCATCACTAAAATAACAAGAACAAGTTTTCAGAAAGACGAGACACCCACTAAGATTTGACCCCAAACATAAGAGCACAAAATGAAAAATTTATGTATCCCTATATATACGTCTATATCTATGTCTATGTACAGATTCATACAAAAAAAAAATGGAACATCAAACAACTCCAAAGCAGAAAACAAAGGAGAAGATCAAAGGCAACAAGACTAAGTTTGTGGGAGTTAGGCAAAGGCCTTCAGGAAAATGGGTGGCAGAGATCAAAGACACTACACAAAAGATACGGATGTGGCTCGGAACTTTTGAGACCGCAGAAGAAGCCGCTCGAGCCTACGATGAAGCTGCCTGTCTTTTACGAGGCTCCAATACTCGCACCAATTTCGCAAACCATTTTCCTAACAACTCACAACTTTCTTTGAAGATCAGAAACCTCCTTCACCAGAAGCAGAGCATGAAGCAACAACAACAACAACACAAACCCGTTTCTTCTTTTGCGGATTGCAACATCAACTACACTTCGACTGCTACTAGTCTCACCACAACCACCACCACTACCACGGCAATGCCGCTCAATAATGTGTACCAACCAGATTCATCGGTCATTGGGCAGCCAGAAACCGACCTCCAGCTTCCTTATTCGTGGCCCCTTGTCTCTGGATTCAACCATCAGATTCCATTGGCTCAAGGAGGGGGAGAAACACATGGACATCTCAACGATCACTACGCAACCGATCAACATTTGGGTCTTGCAGAAATCGAAAGACAGATATCTGCGTCCCTATATGCAATGAATGGAGCTAACAGTTACTATGACAACATGAATGCAGAATATGCAATTTTCGATCCTACCGATCCCATTTGGGATCTCCCTTCACTCTCCCAACTCTTCTGCCCTACGTGATTCCAATTTACTTTTCCTGATCAATTCATGTAATTTTTGGATCCATGATCCATGATTGTAAAGTAGAACACATCTCTACAATGTTCCAATAGACAAGATTGTACCTAAAGAAAATGGACACTGTAAGAAGATAATGAAGGTTTGGTACAACAAAAGCTTGATAATGAACTCGGGATCTTCCCCAGTGGTTGCTCTACCAATGAAAATGTATCTAACCGAGATAAAACACGAAGGCGGAAGAAGTCCAATGGATATTGTACAGGATTAAAACAAACATGTAATCAACAAGAATCATAAAATGAAAACAGATAAACGAAAAAACTTTTTGGTTGCTCATTGCTTGAGAAAAGGTGTCAATAGTCTTCACCTTCATCTTCTTCATCGTCACCACCTTCAGCACCCACTTCTTCGTAATCTTTCTCCAGTGCGGCCAAGTCTTCACGTGCCTCAGAGAATTCACCCTCCTCCATTCCCTCACCAACATACCAGTGCACAAATGCCCTCTTCGCATACATAAGATCAAACTTGTGGTCGATCCGTGAGAACACCTCTGCAACTGCTGTGTTGTTACTGATCATGCACACAGCTCTCTGAACTTTAGCGAGGTCACCACCTGGAACAACTGTTGGAGGTTGGTAGTTGATTCCACATTTGAACCCAGTTGGGCACCTGCAAAATAATACGCATGCCAACGGAATTGTTAAATTAAAAAAAAAACATGAAGGTAGAAACAGTAGCAGCTAAATCCACTTCTAGATCATACCAGTCAACAAACTGAACAGTCCTCTTTGTCTTGATGGTGCCAACAGCAGCATTAACATCTTTGGGAACGACATCTCCACGGTACATCAAACAACATGCCATGTACTTTCCGTGCCTCGGGTCACACTTTGCCATCATGCTAGCAGGCTCAAACACGGCATTGGTGATCTCAGGGACTGATAACTGTTCATGGTAAGCTTTTGCGGCTGAGATGACTGGTGCATAAGATGACAGCATGAAATGGATACGGGGATATGGGACAAGGTTGGTCTGGAACTCAGTGATATCCACATTGATGGCTCCATCAAACCTCAATGATGTTGTCAAGGATGAAATGATCTGTGATATCAACCTGTTCAAATTTGTGTAGGTTGGCCTCTCGATATCTAGGGATCTGCGGCAAATGTCATAGATGGCTTCGTTATCCAAGAGGACAGCTACATCGGTGTGTTCAAGAAGGGAATGCGTTGAGAGAACACTGTTGTAAGGCTCTACAACAGCAGTAGAAACCTGACATCACAAAGCAATACATTCAAAACCAAGATTCATTCAAATTACACCACTAAAGAAACATGTAATGTAATGAGCTCCTACTTCAGATTCTAGCCAAAAAAAAAGAGTACCTGAGGAGAAGGGTAAATGGTGAAACCAAGCTTAGACTTCTTTCCATAATCTACAGACAAACGTTCTAACAACAGAGAACCCAACCCAGAACCAGTTCCACCACCAACAGCATTGAACACCAAAAATCCTTGCAAGCCAGTACAGTTGTCGGCAAGTTTCCTCACACGGTCAAGGCATAGATCCACAATTTCCTTTCCAACTGCAATTACAAGAAGCATTCTAAGGACCATTTCAAAATCCCTAACAAGTTAGAACAAACAGAAAGTGGATTCTCACCAGTGTAATGTCCTCTAGCGAAGTTGTTAGCAGCATCTTCTTTACCAGAGATAAGCTGCTCTGGATGGAAAAGCTGACGGTAAGTACCAGTACGAACTTCGTCGATAACAGTAGGCTCAAGATCAACGAAGACAGCCCTAGGAACATGCTTCCCTGCACCAGTCTCGCTAAAGAAAGTGTTGAACGCATCGTGCGCAACACCAACTGTAGTATCACTACAACAGAGCAAAAACATTCGTCTCTCAAAAACCTTCCGATTCACAGAAACAGAGTAGAAATGAGCGAATTAGGGTTTATACCTCGGCATCATTCCGTCGGGCTGGATTCCATGTTCGAGACAGTAAAGCTCCCAGCACGAATTCCCGACCTGGATCCCAGCTTGTCCGATATGAATGCTAATGATTTCTCGCATCTTCTCTCAGTAGAAACCCTAATTTCGAGCGATCCTCTTCTTCGACGGCCGGAGAATTGAGGAAATGAGAGCGGTGAGCGAGATCTTCTTTATTTTCCATGATTTTTGTGGGAAAATTGATTATTTATTGAATGAGATTTGATAATTGGTTGGGGTCCGCCAAGTTGTGACAGCCTGCCTTAGGGACTGGGCATAGACAAAATACGTGAGATTCGATCTGGATCTAGATCTGGAAGGTGTCGATTTTTATCCGGTTTAGTAACTTACCGGTATTTAGGTAGTTTCACTTTCATTACAGTAGTATGATTGGGATAAATGTAAATCATAGCTTAACCGAACTAAATCTCTGTAATTAGGGTTTTGTGGTTTAACTAACTTGTGGAAGTGCCAAACCGAAAATTATCGTCATGTCAGGTTGTCCATGTTTATAAGATTTTAATTCTCTTTTGATGCTTCTTTTAATTAATTTACTTACCAAAAGTTCTTGACTATGTAAACGTGTTTTCTTTTTTCCGGATTTAAAATCAAATGGTTGACTTAAAATAAAAAATTGAAATAGATAAATGACTATTCATCTAATTTTTACCATTTGAGATGAATAAGTTTGAAAATTAATTTAATTCATTCAATAAAAAAGTTGGAAAATTAACAAATTAGAAAGGAAAACTGTTCAACCCATTTATGTACAATTTTACAGAAGAATGAGTTGAAAATGATGTTCAACTTTTTTTTGTTCAATTCAATTTTTTCCAATCATTTATCTATATGTCATCCATTTGCAAAAGTTTTTATGTTTTTTCGATGAGTGGAGCAAGTTACAACCAAAATGACGATTTGGTAACGGAAATGATCGGAAAGATGGAAAAAAAACAACACATATAAATTGATCAATCTAGACTATATTGGATGAATTAAGATAGTCAGCTAGATTGACTCTCTAATTTGCTCAGCTAATAAGTTGGAGAGATTAATTACTAATTAGTTCAAGTATGTGTACTAAAGCTTATTTGTCCTAATCGGTTTTGTGGAGTTATTTGGATCGAATGGATCAAGATTAACGGTTATATCTTATAGCAATCCAACCATATGGGCCTATAGATAGAATGTTTTAAAGGAGTTTTCATTCATTCAAACAAACTAAAAGAAAAAATAATGCATGATTTTAAGGCAATTGATAGTTAAACTAAGACGTAAATCTTGAGAAATATGCTCGAATGACTATTCTGAGCAATCATGTCGATATAAGGATGTATGGAGTAGAGTGGACTATGTTCATAGTGAAACTGTAAATTCAAGGTGAGTTCATGACCAACGCAAAGTTCGCGAATTCATAACTTGTTAGTTCATATGATTGGATATGGGCTGGATCAAGGAATTGTTTTTTGAATAAATTTGTCATGAGCACAATTATTTCATATATCCATATGACTTGGTTTGTTACAAAACACAAATAATGGGATAGTGAGATTAGAGAAAATAAAGTATTCAGAAAAACTTTATTTATTTGGTTTATTACAAACACAAATAATGGAGTATTATTTTTTTTTATTTTTTTTGTCAACCACATAATGGAGTATTATTTTTCATATACTTCTTACATATATAGTTAGTTAATAGTATATATTTTCATGTATAAGTATAAAAACTTCAGTTATGTGTATTGTTGTGGTTCTCATTAACAAATGAATATATTTCGATTAGTGCCTGATCTCTTTACTTCACACTCAATCTCTCAAGAACATTAGCAAATCGTTTCAAGAAAGAGAACAAATCAATTGCAGATGATTTGAGGAAGAAGATGTGGAATGTGCATGAGAAAGTTAACAAATTTAAGTTTTAGGTGAACAATCTACTAATTCATAAGTTACATGATTATGTCCATTTTGATGTCACTCTCGTCAGGGGGAGACCCATTGAATTCACATAATCTTATCATTTTCTTATTAGTCTATGATCGAATGCGGTGAAAAAGAAGAAAAAAAAATGCACCCCGTATATTTTCATTCGTGCACCCACTATTTCTTTTGTTTCCACATAATCAATTTTTGATTAAAAACCATTAAATAGCCAAAGAGTTTTCCATTGTGTTGTTGTTGTTGTTTTTTTTTGTTTTTTTTTTAAGTATTAAATGTCCACCTGTAAAGATTTATTTCATTTTCTTATTGACTCCGATAAATTTCATCATTTATCATACCACTAAATGAAATTAATGATATAAAAACAATTATTCTCTCCGTTTCGTTTTAGTGGTCGTTTAAGGTTTTCGCACACAAATTAATCATTAAATTTTTTGTTTTACCCTTTATTAATATATTTTATAATTTTTTTATTGGTCAAAACATTAAAACATTAATGACAAAACATGAATTTTCACCAAACATTTGCATTGAAAACCTAAAACGACAACTATTATGAAACAAAATTTTAATCCTAAAACGACAACTAAAGTGAAACGGAGGGAGTATAATATGATCATGAACTGTGACTTTTGTCATCATTAAGATCAATACACAAGCTCTGCTATATGTAGAATCTGTTTAAAACAAACTAACAATAAAATAAAATAAAATAAAAAATACTACATTGAACCGAATCCATCAACCAAGTCACTCACAAGTCGATTTTCCTAATTGACGTAAACCATTCCGGTCCGTGAGAATGAGTAACATGTACCCGCCGAAGATATTTGTTGCCAGCCAAAATTGAGAAACTGTTGGATGAACTGGATCGTGTGGGCAATATTGTAAAATTAACTCATTTTCGAACAAAAGCGAAGCCGTGGGACCCAAGGCAGGCTGTCACAAAATGGCGGACCCCAACAAATTATCAAATCCAATTCAATAAATTAATCATTTTCCCTTCACAAAATATAAACCTAATTTGCCAACGAAAGTTAAACCAAAAAAAGAAGATCTCGCTCACCGCCTCATTTCCTCGATCTCCGTCTTCCTCTTGCTCCGTCCGTCGCAGAGCATCGCTCTAATTAGGGTTTCTACTGAGAGAAGATGCGAGAAATCATAAGCATTCATATCGGACAAGCTGGGATCCAGGTCGGAAATTCGTGCTGGGAGCTTTACTGTCTCGAGCATGGAATCCAGCCCGACGGAATGATGCCGAGGTATAAACCCTAATTCGCTCATTTCTACTCTGTTTCTGTGAATCGGAAGGTTTTTGAGAGACGAATGTTTTTGCTCTGTTGTAGTGATACTACAGTTGGTGTTGCGCACGATGCGTTCAACACTTTCTTTAGCGAGACTGGTGCAGGGAAGCATGTTCCTAGGGCTGTCTTCGTTGATCTTGAGCCTACTGTTATCGACGAAGTTCGTACTGGTACTTACCGTCAGCTTTTCCATCCTGAGCAGCTTATCTCTGGTAAAGAAGATGCTGCTAACAACTTCGCTAGAGGACATTACACTGGTGAGAATCCACTTTCTGTTTGTTCTAACTTGTTAGGGATTTTGAAATGGTCCTTAGAATGCTTCTTGTAATTGCAGTTGGAAAGGAAATTGTGGATCTATGCCTTGACCGTGTGAGGAAACTTGCCGACAACTGTACTGGCTTGCAAGGGTTTTTGGTGTTCAATGCTGTTGGTGGTGGAACTGGTTCTGGTTTGGGTTCTCTGTTGTTAGAACGTTTGTCTGTAGATTATGGAAAGAAGTCTAAGCTTGGTTTCACCATTTACCCTTCTCCTCAGGTACTCTTTCTTTTGCTAGAATCTGAAGTAGGAGCTCATTACATTACATGTTTCTTTAGTGGTGTAATTTGAATGTATTGCTTTGTTATGTCAGGTTTCTACTGCTGTCGTAGAGCCTTACAACAGTGTTCTTTCAACGCATTCCCTTCTTGAACACACTGATGTAGCTGTCCTCTTGGATAACGAAGCCATCTATGATATTTGCCGCAGATCCCTAGATATCGAGAGGCCAACATACACAAACTTGAACAGGTTGATATCACAGATCATTTCATCCTTGACAACATCGTTGAGGTTTGATGGAGCCATCAATGTGGATATCACTGAGTTCCAGACCAATCTTGTCCCATATCCCCGTATCCATTTCATGCTGTCATCTTATGCACCAGTCATCTCAGCCGCAAAAGCTTACCATGAACAGTTATCAGTCCCTGAAATCACCAATGCTGTGTTTGAGCCAGCTAGCATGATGGCAAAGTGTGACCCGAGGCACGGAAAGTACATGGCATGTTGTTTGATGTACCGTGGAGATGTCGTTCCCAAAGATGTTAATGCTGCTGTTGGCACCATCAAGACAAAGAGGACTGTTCAGTTTGTTGACTGGTATGATCTAGAAATGGAACTAGCTGCTACTGTTTCTACCTTCATGTTTTTTAAAACTATTATTTTACATGGGTTTTGTTTTGCAGGTGCCCAACTGGGTTCAAATGTGGAATCAACTACCAACCTCCAACAGTTGTTCCAGGTGGTGACCTCGCTAAGGTTCAGAGAGCTGTATGTATGATCAGTAACAATACAGCAGTTGCAGAGGTGTTCTCACGGATTGACCACAAGTTTGATCTCATGTATGCGAAGAGGGCATTCGTACACTGGTACGTCGGTGAGGGAATGGAGGAAGGTGAATTCTCTGAGGCACGTGAAGACTTGGCCGCACTCGAGAAAGATTACGAAGAAGTTGGTGCTGAAGGTGGAGACGACGAAGAAGATGAAGGTGAAGACTACTGACACCTTTTCTCAAAAAAACTGCAAACCAAAAAGTTTTTTCGTTTATCTGTTTTCACTTTTGATTCTTGTTGATTGTTTTAATCTTGTACAATATTCGTTCGGCCTTCGTGTTTTATCTCGGTTGGATACATTTTCATTGGTAGAGCGACCATTGCGAGTTCCCGAGTTTATTATCAAGCTTTTGTTGTACCAAACCTTCAATATCTTCTTACAGTTGTCCAGTATTTCTTTGAGTTTACTTCCCTATCCGGCCACCAACATGTATCCACGTTTCTCTATGCGTTGCTGCAGCTACTCAACGAATTCTAACGAACAACACTGATTTTCGCAAACCCGCATGAGTATTGTCAATTTGCATCAGAAAGACTACTCTACTGGTCCACTAGCTCAAATACGGCGTGAAAAATGCCAAAAATCGTTTTAAAAATCATAAACTTCCGAAAGATCAATTAAAACCGAAGATTTCTATATTGGACCCTAAAAAACCAAAAATTGTCACAAAACTCATCATCATAATGTATTAATAAAACTGATTATTTTTTTAAAAAACGAAATTCATGTGAAGATGTAATAAATAACTCTAAATACATTAGGATTGCGTAAATCCGAAAAGTGAAAAGTAAAGTCCAAATTAATAAATTTAGAGGGAATTAACTAAAAAAATGTCTGGCTTAGATCAGATCTCATATAAAAAAAATGCAAATGAAAAAAAAAAAAAAAGGCAAGGGTTTGGTGCAATTTAGTTCAGTTGGGTACTGTTAATATAAAAAGCCCACAAGCTTCACTTCATCGTCTCCTCTCCACCAAGTGAATCTCTTTCTCTCTCTTTTTCTCCGCGGAAGGAATCTCTTCTTCTGGTTGCGTTTGAGTCCGTACGAAAAAACAAAGAAGGAGAGAGATGGCGGAAGAGAAGAAAGCTCCAGTTGGTGTCTGGACTACCGTGAAGCCCTTCGTCAATGGCGGTGCCTCTGGTATGCTCGCTACTTGCGTTATCCAGCCGATCGACATGATTAAGGTATGTCAAATGTTTCCGGATACACATTTCTTTATCATCCATCTCTATGTCGAAGCTCTTTAGATTTCAAATTCTCGCTTGATTTGCTGATACTGACATCGGCGAAATCTGTAAATGTTTTGTTTCATCAGATCCGAGTCTGAAGATTTTATCTCTTAGATCTGGTTTTTATTTTTGGGTTATAATCAAATTTCATTTCTTGGAACATATTCAGACTCGTTTGAGTGTGAATTGTTGTTGCTGATGTGTTTAGATGAAATGTTTTGGTTCAGATCTGGATTTTGATTAGAATTACGTTCTTCGGTTCATAGCAATGTGCAATTCTTAAAAAATGTTGTGTATCTAATGAAGTAATACTTTGTTTCTGGTGGTGAAGGTGAGGATTCAACTAGGTCAGGGATCTGCAGCCAGTATAACCACGAACATGCTTAAGAATGAGGGTTTCGGTGCCTTCTACAAGGTATACATTATATTTCTGGATGCATTTACTTTTCTATTGGTATTCTGGTGTTGATGTTATGACTTTTGTTGATCTGTAATGTATATGATGTCTGCATTTCGGATCTATGTCTCAGCTATTCATTGAATTCATTTCCTTAACTAACAGTCTTTTTATCAGTCTTTCTAACTACAACATTAGTTATACCCCATTGAAGATGTGTCCTGAGCTTATTTAATGTGAATTTTTGTAATAGGGATTATCTGCTGGTTTGCTGAGGCAAGCAACTTACACCACAGCCCGTCTTGGATCATTCAAGTAAGTTATTCATTTGTCGATTGTCTTGAGCCCATCCAATTGAATAGATTTGTATTGCCTTATTGTTACGGATAAATCATCCTCTCTCCTGTCATTATATTTTATTAGGTTGCTGACTGCAAAGGCAATTGAGTCTAACGATGGAAAGCCTCTACCGCTGTATCAGAAGGCTCTATGTGGTCTGACAGCTGGTGCTATTGGTGCTTGTGTTGGTAGTCCAGCCGATCTTGCACTTATCAGAATGCAAGCTGATAATACTTTGCCGTTAGCTCAGCGCAGGAATTATACCAATGCCTTCCATGCGCTTTACCGTATTAGCGCTGATGAAGGAGTTTTAGCACTTTGGAAAGGATGTGGGCCCACTGTGGTCAGAGCTATGGCTTTGAACATGGGAATGCTTGCATCTTATGATCAAAGTGCTGAATACATGAGAGATAATCTTGGTTTGGGGGAGATGTCTACGGTCGTCGGTAAGCTGCTCTTCCAAGTTTCTCATACTCTTTTTCGTTTTTTGCTTGTTATACTAGTTCTGCACTAGACTTAACAAGAAACCTTTGTCAGTATTTTCATATGGTCATGTAATCTCTGTATGATATATAGTGTAGGTAAAATAGATATCTGAGTATGGTGGTTGTTTGGTTTTTATTTCCTTTGGCAGGAGCTAGTGCTGTTTCGGGGTTCTGCGCTGCGGCTTGCAGTCTGCCATTCGACTTTGTCAAAACTCAAATTCAGAAAATGCAACCGGATGCTCAGGGAAAATATCCATACACAGGTTCACTTGATTGTGCGTTGAAAACCTTAAAAGAAGGAGGACCTCTGAAATTTTACTCAGGTTTCCCTGTTTACTGTGTCAGGATTGCCCCTCACGTCATGGTATAATAACTCTTATCTCCCTTATTTTGTAATGTTATTCTACGAATCACTTCGAGATTGCCTCTAATATAGTTGGTGATCGGGTTTTCTTTTGGCAGATGACATGGATCTTCCTGAACCAGATTACGAAATTTCAAAAGAAGATTGGTATGTGATATGAGAGGAACGAAGACAGCAGCAAAAAATAAGATGAGAAGAACGAAAACACAATTGGAATTGTGTTCATTTGCTTTTTAATCATATACATAACCTGCCTTAAAGCGTATTATTGTAGCTGTTTGAAACTTTGATTTTTTTGTTTCGGGCGGTGATTGGTCCGGTGAATTTAAAATTTTCTTCTTTGGTGGAAGTTTAAAGACACAAAAACCAGAGATTTTAAAGTTTTCATACGAAGCAACTATAAAATTCTCTAAAACGATTTTAACAACATTTGGAAACAGTAAACATTTGAAACGTTGATGATGTGAAATATTCAAGATGCTTAGAGAAAATCTTGTTTCTACACTAACAAAAATGTCAAGTGCAGGGTTCCCAAATAATTGTTTTGAAACACCAAACATTTGCATCAGCAGACAAGAACGTTGCCCCAAAACTCTGCCGATAACAACCACCTGAGGCTTTTAGGTAAGAAACATGCCTACTTTGCGACAACTGCTTTGTGAGCCTTGAATGATAAAATCACATTCCAAGCCAAAGCCACTACGTTTGAAGCGAGTACCTGCAATAATTCATATATAAGCCATCGATGCATCCTCAGAGCCAGTGAACAAACTTTAGCAGAATGGTGAATAACATCAGTTACCAGCAAATCCTGCTAAGCCTACTAGCTAGTAGCTAATGTCATTCTAGAGTAATTCATATCAAGCTCAACATGTGAAAGATGCTTTTAACAAGTGCTCAACAACATGAAAACGCGTAATAATTTCTCAAAGATTATACTAAGCAGAGGATTAACAGCGTGTGGGTCATTATGTATGAAGCATATCAATCTTAACCGAATTGTATTTTTCACTCTCACGTTTCATGTAGTCACAGAGTTTAGTATCAAACCTGGAAGTTCTGTGGAACAAATCTGAAGTTAAGAAACTGAAATGGTATCCATAGTTGCCAATTTGCTAGCACTGCACCAGTCCACTCCTACAAAATCAGCAATTCATGGATTCAATTAGAATACCGAAAAAAAGAAAGATACAAAGTATCAAATCTAGGTTCCTGCAAATAAACATTCTCGTGGAAATATTCAGTTTAATTAGCTTTTAATCCAACCTGTTGTAGCTTCGGTATGGCATTTGACGGTTTTCCTTCAAGTGTCACAACTGCTGATAAGAAAACTCCAACAAAAATAGGAGCAAAAACAAACTGCAAAAACAAATATTGGTGTTAACACAGATGAGCAATATGGGGAACAGAATGTTAGATGGGGAATAGGATAATTTGCTACCTGATCCAGTAAAAGCCGTATAACAGCGCCTGATAATCCAGAAGCTGTCACCACTTTGCTCAAATATAGATACCTAATGGAGTTGAGAGATTTCAGAGAGCAGAGAATAAGCATAAGTGATATACCTAATGGATGCATAAGTCTCTTCAACTGAACAACCACTTAGCAAAGAAGTAAGATAGCTTTCGCGGTGTCATAGTGAAAGGTCCACGGAAATACCAGAAATGCAATGCTGGACCAACTAGCCCTAAGCCCAACAAGGTAAACGTGAGTGTCCTCTTCTTGTCCAGCGATGAGGTCTTATTGATTGTAAGCTGCAACCAAATGTAACACGAATAAGCAATGTTTCTTTTCCAAGAACCACATAGCTAGGAGAACACCATAAACCATAGAAAAGAAATGGATTTTTCACTACAAAAAGATAGCAAGCTCAAGTTAAAGTCTGTCTGTTCAGAAATACATAATGCAGCTAAAGAATACTGAGAATCCAAACTTAAAAGATAACTACTGAGATTCAAGCACACCATTAAGAGAGTTACCTGGCAGATCACATCTCCAATGAGGGTCAAAAGTGCTGAGGTCACAGCTTTAGTCAAAACAGGAGAATCTGAGAGAAGAGCCAAGTACCTGAAGCACCACAGAAAAAGGCACACAAAGTGCATTTATGCTCAATTCAAAAGCAAGGAATCATACTATAAATAGTGTTTGTGAGTATCATTAACATCAATGAAATTTCCAATGTCTGCTTCAACGAATTAAGTTTCAAAGAAACATCTTTACACAAGAAAATAAGTAGATACAGGAAAAAGTAAGCAAATTTACCATGAGACGAATGACCACTTCTTCCCGTTTCCGCCGCTACCTTCACCATCACCTCCACCGCCGGAACCATCACCACCACCACCACCTAACCCGCCAGAACCACCTGAACTACCACCTGAGACAGAAGAGACCCGACCCAGGTTCCCAAACCCAGTACCGGAACTCCCCGACCAATTGCTACGACCAAAATTCAGTGAACCAACACTTTTGTACCCAAACGACAGAGCCCTTCTCAAACCAGCTTCAGTTATATTTCTTCGACAGAAAGACGAGGTGTGATTACCGGAAAACGCAAAAACATTGAAGGGGAGTGGTGGTTTCCGGGTTAAAGTGATGGGGTTAAGCATTGTGGTTTCGTCTGGTCTGACACTGAACGGTGAGGACGACTCCTGAATCCCGTAGTGAAGAAAGAAACATGGTGATATTTTGGGCTTTAGAAATGGGCTTTTATATGGGCCTTCAAATGCATTGGAGGGACGGTCTTAACTTTCGCCGGAGTGTGATATTGTTGATCTCATTCTCAGCAGAGGAGTTTTAGGGTTTAATCAAAAGAAACAAATTTTAAGCAAAAGGAAAAAAAGTATATAGCATTGGATTACAAACGGTACACACTAGAACTGAAATTCGGAAATGAAAAATTAAAATTGTGACAGATGCAAAAAAAGCTTTCTTGTATCATCTCAGTTCACCTTTTAAGACAAGTGATGCTTGTCTTATAGCTCTAGAGACTCTCCAAATCTGGTGTTGAACATTTTCCCAAGATGCTTTTGTATTTAGCTTCTTTGCATTGTCAATTGCATCATCAACTCCAGGGAATGATTTCGATCCGTAGTCATCGTACTTCGATGGTCCGTATATCAAATGCTTGTACCATGGTCTTTCAGAGAGTCCATCTCGGTCTGTTAAAGCTCGTTCCGCCATCATTAATCTGTCATTTAGCTCTCTCACTTTACGAGCTCCTTTAACTGCCTGCACAGTCCACTCCAGACTACTTTCAGTAACCAATATACTTGTCACTTTGTCAAAATGTTAACTAGCAACCATACCTCTTTCTCTATATTTATATATTGTGCAGCCGTAGATAGATCTTCGATCGATTTTATCAATGGATATACATCTATGCTATGGCCTAACTTCTCATTCTCCAAATCTTCCGCGCTTTTCTGTTTATGTAGAACAAATACCATTATGAAAAATCTCGCTCATCAATTGATTTGGCCATATGTTTTATAAATACCAATTAGTTACCTTGAGTTCTAGTGCATAGGAAGTATAGTTGAATGGTAAGATTTCCTCATCTGCTAACCGAAGAGCGACCAAACCAAGAACACTAGCCATTGCGACATGTCGCTGAAACATCGGGTCACCAAACTTTTCCATCCAAGTGAAGTCATCATACATAGAGTGGTAGACTGGATAGCCTATTATTTATGGTTAATGTTTGCAATAATCAGTAAAAAAGCTTATTGACTTGGTGTTTATACAACAGACCATGATATTTGGTTCATCAACTGTAAGTGTGAGTGGCTGATTCAGAGATTTACCTCCTCCAAAGGACATGTCAACTCCTGGAACGCCAACATGTTGTACAAATGATGCATAATCCGAACCTCCGCCCCCTAATCTTCTGATCTTCATATACCAAGTAAACAAATCAGTTTACCATGAGACAAAATTCATTATCTAAGCTAGTCTCTACACTTACCACAACAGAGTTACTTGATCCTATCCACGAATCATAGATTGTTTGCGTTGCGTTATCTGGATCCCGGACCTGCAGACAGTTAACCAAAAAGCTTGATTATGTGTCCTTGCAACAGAAACAGTTAACACTTAACCTTCAAGATTAGCTCAAAAGATTGCTATATAACTGCCTTAGAAGTACCTCTTGAGCAGCTATTTTTATCAATTCATCGAGTTGTGGAGTAGCAGAAGCATGAAATCCCGGGCCAGATACCGCACAATCTACATTCAAGTATGCCACAGCTCTTGAAGTAAGCATCTCTCTGTTTTCTTCTACCCATTCTGTTGACCCAATCTACATAAAAATTACATCAACCCCAAATTTCTGCTGCTTTGACATCACAAAAGCACACATAAAAAGTGAGGTAGAGACCAGGCCATACTCCTCAGCATCCCAATTGCACAAAATAATCGTCCGCCGAGGCTTCCATCCTCTTTTCTGCAGCTTATCTAGCCTTTGTGCAATCTACAAAAGTTTCAAAAATCTCTCATTGCAATGGAAACTTTTAAATCTTTCAGCAAATACATGTTGTGGAAAACTTTTACTCGCCTCCAAAAGTACCGCAGTACCACTGTTCGGATCAACAGCTCCAAAAGTCCAAGCGTCTCTATGGTTCCCAAGAATCACATATCTAACCAACTCATCCAACACAATCCCTAGTAATTAGTACAATCAGAAGTCACCTAATTAGTCTATTGCCACTCACTATTGAAAATGTACCTATCAGGCTCTTCTTCTCCTTCAATCACTCCAATAACATTCTCAATCTGGGCTATAACAGTTTCCCCCTGAAACCAGACCCAACAAAACTCAAATCCAAGTAAGAAACACACATCTAAAACACAAACTCACTCACAATGTAGCTCAGGTTCAAGATCCCAGGTCCAGGCCCCACTGGATAGACATCTCCATCAGCAACATCTCCAACAACCGTCTTCAAAATCACTTCTGCATCAGCAGCCGAGACAGGCAACGACGGTATAAGCGGAACATCACCGCTCAATTCAACCGCCTCATCCGACAATCTCTCACAGCCATCAACACTTGCCCACCCAGGAGTAGTTGGATCACCTAACCCATTATAAACAGTACCAACCTGAACCCCACTCGGTGGCATCCATTTACTCACCGGAAACCACTGATCTCCGCCGTAATCTCTCTTGTCTGTATATATCACAACACCTACAGCTCCTGCCTCGTAAGCGTTCTTCACAATGTCTCCTCTGTATATCTGACCGTACCTCGCGATTACAACGGCTCCAGAGACATTCACACCCATCTCTTTCTTGAGTCTCACGAAATCTTCTACTCGTCCGTAGTTTGCATAAACCACTGGACCTGAAACATTACCTGACTTAGCGTATCCATGAAAAGTAGGCATCACTTCATTAGCATAAGGATTGTCTCCGGCTTGTTCTTGTTCCAGCAAGAAAGTGATCGGCTTTGCTGATTCTGTGGGCGTTAGTACCAAAGAGCGATGAACTGGGTAAGTTAGAGATACTTGGTAAGTAACAACGTGTGATTTGAGTGCAGAGGAGGTGAAAACAGAGCGAACATATGCGGCAGCTTCAGCGTTGGCCACCGTACCGGCTACATGAGGGCGACGCGTGAGGGTACGGAGGTTTATAGCGACGGAAGCGTTGTCGGAGAAGGAATCAGAGAGGAAGAGCTCGTGGTAGTGAGACTTTGGTGAAGAAGAGAAGAGGAAGAAGGAGTAAGATAAAGCGGCGACTATGAAGGCTAGAGCTTTTGATTCCGACATCAATGGAGCTTCTTCTTAGATAATCATCAATGGAGAGGTTTTGTTGTTGTTGTTGTTTGCTGTTGTTGACTTTAGAGTGTGATGGCTTTTCTGATAAGGATTTGATGTTCCCAATTATTGATCTTCAGAGGAATCTTCACTTAGAGTATTGATTAGGATACATAAATTATTACCACATCAATACTGATTTTGGGTCCCATTTGTGACAAAACATAAAATAGTTTTTTTAGTGTAGCTATTGTTAGAAGATGTGTTAAAATCATAAAACCCAATTTCCAAGTTTTTGTATTCTCCTTCTCTTTTTGATATCAATTCTTACTAATCAAACTTATAATTGAACATTAGTCTCTTACCAATAAAAATTAAAAATGACTCGACTTAAAAAAACCAATGAAAATATTGGAAAACTCCTTTAGCTTTCAGGTGAGTGGAAAATACAAAAATGACCACTGATAATCATGTCATTTTAAAACACATCCGCCAAACCTAACTTATAACATAAAAGGTGAATTTGAATCTAGATTAATCATAAAATCCATGTTACGTTGTCCGAACAAGACTTGTATCATCATTCTGAAACTCATTTAATTTAGTATATGAATATAATCGATCAAATATACAAATTCTTAATTACATGTTTATCTTCGGAAAAAAAAATATATAAGTGGTGTATCCCAAGATGGGACTTGGTCGGCAGTGTTTGGCTGTTGAATGGACGTCGAGTCACTGGAATGTGGTGCGCATGTATATGAAATGTTTTTAAAAAATGTTTTTATTTTATTAAGGGCAAAATGTACATTATTAATTAGGTAGAAAATTAAAATGACACACAAAAAAAGGTGTAATGGTTAGAGTTTGATCCATTCAGAGCCGTCGATAAAGGTAAGAGAAAGAAAAGGCTTAGCTTCTTCGTCGGTGAGCTCTCTTGCCCAAGCCACCCTCCCTCCATAGTTTGCTCCTGCTCCCGTGCACTTGTACTGCCCATAGAACACCGTCCTGCACCAAATTTTTTCATTTCACAATTACTTTTTTTCCTTTCTTTTAAATGATTTTTTCACATTTTTTTCTCCTATGCACGCCTACGTTAATGGCCTTATCTATACAAATGCATGCGCACACAAACTTAGCATACTATTATCAAAAGCAACTTTTTTGGGGTAGAAAGACAAAAATGAAGTCGGTCTGAAAAGTGTAGTGGTGGTGGCTGGTGGGACCTATGACTCTGAAATGGATGAAGCAACGAGATAATGTTTTGTAAAGCTGGACTGAAATGTGTTGCATAATTGTAATCAAGTATCAAGTCTGGCATGTTCTCTCAAGCTTGTAGAGTCAGAGCTATGCCGACTAACTTTGGTTGTATGTAATTTAAAGGAGACCAAAGAGAAGTAAACGTACATCTCACGGGAAGGGTCACCCCAATTGTACCAGCCTCTAGGGAGGATGATGTTGTCCATATAAGTGTAAGCAAAGACGACTCTTGAGAAAGGACCCCATGCCCTCCCAAGGTACAAAACCCCTGTCCCTGTCACCTTACACTTTACGAAAGAGAATCCGGTGTCCTCTAGCACACTGCTCCTCCCCTGTGCCGTCACTGCTCCTAGCTTATCCGCTATCGCATGCACGTGACACCCCTAAACACCATTTTATTAGAGAAAGGACCAATCTAAAATTGCTATACATAAATGTAAATTGTGTTCTAAGATACGTTATGCGCTAATCGAATACAGAGACCACACTAAGTGAGAATGCTTACCTCATACAGCGAAAGGGCATTGCCAAAGATGAAATCAACTGATCCCTCAATGTAACAATCTTTGTAATAATGTCTTCCCAAATGGTCATAGAGAGTATCTTGAGCACCAAGCATTCTACACCCGAAAAACGCGGCATTGTCTGCCGAAACCCTCAATGCCACCGCCTGTTTTCCAACTGCGCCCGGTAAGGGGACTGGGGTCGTATTCTACATACATATAAAAACGCTAAGATGGATTCAAAACTTATACGTCCGAATAAATTTGAACACATCTAGTATGTATATATGGTAATAAGTAACCTTGAAAGTGATGTTCTTAGCGACAAAGAAAGGAGAGTTGACTGCGAACGAGGCCGAGTTGTAAGTGCCCATGGGGTTGCCTTTAGAGTCAGGGGTTTGTGCTGTGTCTCCCCATTCCACTGTTGTCTTCTCTGCTCCTTCTCCTTCTATTGTTATGAATGCCTTCATTGGGGGTATGTTCACCTTCTCTCTAGACACATTTTCCAACATTTTTTCATTATTTTTCTCAAATTTGTATACTGTAGTTCTAATTAGTCTTAGCTATAGTAGGAAATAGTTTGCATAAAAATCTAAAATTATGGACAGTAAGCGTGGAGCGTATATGTGGACCACTTATGCGCTTTATAACTCGCAAAGGCCCAAAATGTCACTATAAAAGTCAAATTTCCTAGAGATTATTATTATACATAATACATCCACCTTACAAAATTCCGAGTTCACGTGATCATATAGTGTTGATTTCAAGGGAGAGATCATTGATTGCTACTTTATTTTATTTTATTGGCAATACGTTTTTAGACTCTCTTTCAATTTCATAATTAATTTTGGCTCATGCAGATGCAGGAAAGGACGAACAAAAAAGATATGGTATCCCCCCGTACTACTTAAATAGAGAATGAAAACAAATTGCAAAACTGCTAATGTATATAGACAAAACTCTAGAATCTAAGGTTCATGGCTGTTGGAATATACTTACATCCACACATTGGAATATAAAATGAAAATATATCTAAAGATATGTGGTACCAATTCGGAATTCATCAGTTTGCAAACTGTACAAAACACTATATATTTGTTTAATTATATATCTGCAAGATCAACCTAATAAATATCATGTCCTTTATATATATACCTCATTACCATAAAAATGGGTGGTTGGAAAAAAATGACGAAATGTTGAAAACAAAGGAGGATAATATTCAAATATGTTTTGATCATTATAATGTAATTACGCCACTAATTACCTGATATAGAGATCACAGCTGTTAGTTATGTAAAAATAATGTAGTGGAAGAAAGACTTGTGCTTACTTGTAAACTCCGGCGTGGACTTTGATGACGACACGAACAAAGTTGATGAGAGGGAGAGAATCAATGGCGTCTTGGATTTTAGTGAAGTCACCTTTATTGGATTTCTTGTGGACAGTTAGTGTATAAGAAGGGAAGAGTTTGTTCTTGGCTGCCTTGAACACTGAGTGTTTAAGGCTTCCAACGAATCTCACCCATTTCATGAACTCATCTTCCGGGTTTTGTGTCCGATCACTCGTCGTGTTCACATTCTTCTGGTTTCTTGGTCGTAATCGTAGACCTTTGGTGTGGCATTGTGTTTGCGTTGAACAAAGAAGGATAACGAGAAGGAGAAGAAATAAATTGGGAGCTTGGGTTGAATTGAATTTGGGCATCTATACGACAATTAGAATCAAATACAAAAATATATGGAGTTTTTCTGTTTTGTTTTTTGTGTTTTGCCAAAGATACAAAGTACGACCAAAATAATATATGGCTATGTGATTTCTCAATATGTATGTGTATATATTTATGTGTGGGTGTTGTTAGAGGTGGTCGAGTGTTTGGTACTTTGGTAAGGGAATTAGGTGAAAAGAGACAGAAGGGAAGAGGTCACGGGGCGGTTCCACTCACATCCACGTAGAATGAGAAGCCTAGCTAAATGCCAAATATAAAGACAAGGAGACTCTATTATTTAATTAGTTATAGAAATTATAAACCAACCCACAAGAAAGAAAAGAAACCCAACCCACATTGATGTGGTGCTTATTTCTTGTTTATTACACTGAGAAACAAAAGCTAATCACGAGTTATACCATATGTGAATTTAATTTGATGCTCTATTTAGTCAACAAACAAGAGAGAGGTGTTGAACATGAGCAAAAACTAAGTTATAACGAAACTTTAGTATTAAAAATAAATAAAGAGACGTATAAAAAAATATATTTAGATTTTCATGCGTTTAATTTGACACTTTCATATAACCTAAAATAACTTAAGCACTTTTCTTTGGTTAAAACACATGGGTTACCTGCGGAAGAGAGCCTAAGTTAGTGGTCACGACCGTCTAACTCTCTTTTTGGACGTTGGAGTCCGACTCCACTTCTCCACATGGAGTTAAAACTGTTTAATTGGCAAACGGATGTGGATGTGGTTGGATACATTGACGATGGTATAAAACTGGAATACACAATTTTGTGGGTACAAATATTTACTTAGGATGTTAGATGTGCACACATTTTTTGTCCAACACATATGCACATACACAACACAATTTACTTAATACCTAATGCACTTACACGACAAGTGGTATACCCACAAAATACTTTCATTATGCTCATGAGTATACATTTGATGTGGCAATAAACATAATATATTAGTTTAATGCGGAGTAAAATATTCACTGTGGATAGCATTATATTTAGTTGTTTGCACTGCTGCGCACCAAAGTCGCATGCTGCCACCAACGAAAACTATCAATGAAATGTGGAAGTGAAGATAAAGTATTACAACGGCGAATTGGTGATGAGTGATGAATGATGAGAGTCCACTGAGAGGTGCACATTTAAATTTTGTGTTGTGAATAGTTTTGTGCACAACTAAGTGAACTAACTAATTAAGGTGGCTTTTTGATTCTATTCTATGAATTGATGTTGTCTTTCAGTGCCCGTGACTCCTCTCTTATAATCCTTTCTTGTTGCTTTGTGGTAGGGACATCACTCTTCTCGTGATCTGTGGTTTCCCATCAATGCTTATTTTATTTATCTATTTGTGGGAATTTTCATTTATATTGGATTTCAATATTATACAAATAAATTAATGTATGGGAAAATATGTTCTGTAGCCATGGAAAAAGTTGAAATAAAGAAAATAAATGTACCATAAATTCCTTGCGAATTAGACGGAGTTCGGATTCTTTTACACAACCACAATGATCTTTAACAGAAAAAAACAATCATAAAATAAAAAACAATTCAATATGAAGTAATGGTCGGTAGATTTATTTTGTAAGTTGGAGATTCAAGTGCGCTCAATGCAATTTTCCGTTATTGAAAAAGAGAAAGCAACCAAACACCAACGAAAATACTCCAAAAGGAAGAGTTGGTCACAAGTTTTAGCATCAGAAGTTTAGAAACCAATTGATTTTATTAATTTCAATCTTAAAAGAATAAAATATATAGTTTATACCGAGCTATCTGAACCACCTATATCGAACAAAACCAAAATTTATCCTATTTGTGGCCACAATGTGCCTTTTGACAAAGATTTTATTCTCTGTTTTTTACTCTTGTGGGGTTTTAAGGAGTTTTGACCAGCAAGTAATCATATGTATTGTGTAAGTGTTTTTATTTCCCACCTTTCTTGTAGCCGTCTTTGAGTGTGACCGTCCGGTTAAACACGAGCTTTCCCGGGGTAGAGTCCTTGTCAACCGTGTAATAACCTAATTCATCACAATTCAACGGTGTCAGTGTTTATTTCAGGATAAAAAATACCACTTGTTGTTCACTCTAGAATTGCAGAAAATTACCTAGCCTCTCGAACTGGAATGTGTCCCCTACCACAGCATCTTTAATGGTTGAAAGAGCATAGGCATCAGAAACTACCACTTTGGAGTTGGGGTTAATGTCAGCGAGCCAATCATCATTGAGTTCAGCTGGATTCTGTTATGGTAAAAGACATTTTCTTAGCTCAGGGAAAATCTTTGTTACTCCGGAAGTACAATACAACAAAAGCCAGACAACAATTACCTCGGAATTAAAGAGGTTCTCAAATGAACGGACTTCAACCTTGATGGGCTCTTTTCCTGGTGAAGATTCAGGGACCCAGTGTAGAACACCCTGCAGATAACGGAAACGATTAATACGTGCTACACAATTGCAGAAATTATTGAGATGGTTAAAGAATGGAGTAACGGACCTTTGGCTTTATCTTTTTCTCGGGATCATACTCCACATGAATCTCACAAACGGTTTCAGTGTCATCAGCAAAGACAACGTTGGTGCACTTGATTGGGAAAGCGTATCTGCAAACAGCAGAAAATTCATTGAGTCACCCATGAATCAAATTCAATGCCAAAAGTAATGATGATAAATGATAAGTGTTCGTTTTCATACCGAAGCAAGACTGATTTACCAGGTGCAAGTCCATAATAATTTTTCGAATCCTTCTTTTGGAAGTCAGATTGCTCTATGTATATAACTCTAGAGAGCAGAACCTAGATCAACAACCCGACAACAAAAGGATCAGGAAAAGAGAAAACTGTTCCACTATGTGTAAGAAATTCGTACTTTGTGAAGCTTATTATTTCACCTTGTAGAATGAGGGGTCATCATTCTGAGCATCAGGCCACCTTTTAGCATCAAGCTCCATAACCTTGTCTGCTTCCAAATTGGTGATAACCACCTTAAGAGGATTCAGCACCACCATGGTGCGGGGAGCTGTTTTATTCAACTCCTCTCTAATATGATGCTCAAGACGACTCACATGTATCAGGCTACCATCACTTCAATAAACAACAACAGATAGCAGATTTAATAAAGTTAAGTAACATATGCCAATTCGTATAAGTTACTTCAGCCTTCATATATATATATACAGACCTTCTGGTAATTCCAAGTCCTCGTACAAATGCATTAATCGCAGTAGGAGTTACACCTCTCCGCCTCAAACCAGCAAGTGTTAAAAGACGTGGATCATCCCAACCATCAACATACTTGTTTGTCACAATGTAGTTCAGCTGCAGCAAAAGAAAAAAATTGATCCAACCAGCATGATTTATTGCAAAGAATAATAAAAGTTTTTCACAAGCAACTTTAAGTATTTTAACAACCTTACGCTTGGACATAACAGTGTTTGTGACATTCAACCGCGAATATTCCCACACATACGGCATGTAGAGACCCAGGGAGTGTAATAACCAATAGTAAGAAGCACGTCTGGTTTCAAATTCAAGAGTGCAGAGCTACATTTATGCACATAAACGAAAATGTCAGAAACCACATAAGTAGTGTTTCGAGCAGCAGATGATTCAGCTACAAAATGCAGCATTAGAACTCATGCATTATATCAACCGCTAAAAGAAAGGGACAAACCGAATGTGTTATATTTTCAAGAGAATCAACAATGCAGTGGGCATAATCATAGGTCGGATAGATACGCCATCTGTCACCAGTATGAGGATGCGGTGTGAACTGCAAAGCATATAAACAAGTCAGACAGCTAAAGTCTAGAGAAATCATATTGCTTATACGTAACCAGAGATGATTTCAGTTTCACTTGCCTTTATACGATAGGCAATAAGGTCATACATATTACAATTATCACTCTTCATGTCTTGCTTTAATCTTAGTGTGGCCTTGCCCTCGTCGATCATTCCTCGTCTCATTTCGTCAAACAGCTCTAGAGATTCTTCAATAGGCCTTTCCCTCCAGGGGCTGTTCATTTTCTTCTCCCTGTACTCTTTTATCTCCTCAGCGTTCTGAAGGTAGATGAACAATTCTTCAATAGAATAAGTTCTATGTGTGGAATAAGTTGCAGTGCAGCTTCGAACAAAAGCATGACTATTAACTGGAAAAACAAATGTAATCCATATATGAGGAGGTTTCAATCGATTCAACCTGATGATCAACATAAGCGTGACCTCTTCGAATCAACTCCACTGCCAAATCATACAATTCTTGGAAATAATCACTGGTGTATGTAATCTAGAAGAAAACAACGGGAACTGTCAGATGAATGTAAACACAATAAGCTACGTACAACAGAAAATAACAATACCTTGAAGGGTTCCCAACCCATCCAATTAACTATTTCTTCAATGTGACTAATATACTCTTTCTTTTCCGCCTCAGGATTTGTATCATCGTACCTATAAATCAGATTTTCACATAAGTGCTTATAAAAGAACAATGATTAGTACAGAAAAGCAAAAGATGTAAGAAACCCAAGTAAAAGCGCCCAAGGTTTTTTTCACCTTAGATAACACCAGCCCCCTCGCTCCTTTGCAAGACCAAAATCAACAGACATAGCCTGAAAGTACAACCAATAAATGACCATAGAAACGTAGGCCTTCCCAATCATACACCAGCATGCAAAGTATCTCAACCTCATTTCATGTATACTTTACCTTTGCATGTCCTATATGGAGATAACCATTTGGTTCAGGAGGGAACCGGGTATAAACTTTCCCTCCAGTCACCTTGAGATGTTTGTCAAGCACTTCCTTCGTATTGCTACATCTGAGCACAGAGCCGTCACTGAAAGGCACTTCTGTGTGAACCTGAGAATACAAATGAACAAAAACTTACATGGTCATAACAACATTTCTGCCACTGACTCTCCATAAGCATTTGTTGAATGCATTGCTGTAATGCTAGATATGGATTCCTCCATGACTAAACCAAAAGTTCATATTGGCATCTTCCATTAGTTTTGCAAAGGTACACTTTTTCCCAACTGTAAAGTTTCACTGAAGCTCATGCCGTCGTTTTCAACATCACCACATTTAAAGGCAAACAATACAGACCATACTATTCTATTCTTGTTATCATTCAGTCAGTACATAGATGAATGATTATCAATGGAATACAAAATTGTAGGACGTGGACTCAAAAAAACTCAATAAAAGAAATCACTAAACATAAGAAAAGTAGTGAGTTACCTTAAGATTTTCCTTTGGCTGAGGGAATATAGAATATGGATTAAGCTCCTCTTCAGCTGGATGTGGGATAGCTTCCAAAACAGCATTCTTTTCATATAGTAGCCACGGAAATGAAGTATTAAAATCACAGCATACACAAAAGAAAATACATTGAAATGAAACCTACGCTCACCTCTACTTTGGTGGGCTTCTCTTTCTTCTCCTTCTTTTTTGTAGGTTTCTCATTGTCAGCAGCTGTTTTCTCGCCAAGCAATGCATACAGTTTTTCTTCTATGACTCTCTATTACAAACATGGGACTGGATAAGAAAACTAAAATTTCGTATATGGCTAGAAAAGAACATCATCGGCTGCTAAAACTATGAACTCACCCTAACAGTCTCAGGATCTGCCCATGGCAAACTTTTCAGGACATGTCCGGTTAATTTACCCACTATACCAAATAATTACGTCCCGTTCAACAAAGAAACATTATAAGCTGGTTATACAAGAATATTATAGAGAAGCAGAGCAATATGATATGCTTGAAAGAAACAGAAAGGGTCAGCCAATGAGGTAAAAAACAACAACTGACCACTAGTTCTGTACCGCTGCTCCAATATTGTTTTCATATTTTCTTCAAAGATTTGTTTAACTGTTTTCTCAATATCTTCTGGGGAAACTTCAACCGCTGTTTCAGAACCATAACAAAAAAAAATCACCTCTAAGTCCATGGAATACAAAGAAAATCATTGTGTTAATAATAAAGCAAAACGGAAACCAGTTTCTTCTCTAGAAGCACGGGAGAAAAGAAAATACATATTTAATCGATATTCTCATATTCATAATTTGAATTCAAAAAGTTCTTACCAACACCACATGCCTCCTCAAACTCATTTAGCTTGAAGTCCTCAATACCAGTATTGCCAAAAAACGAATATGCAGCATCCAATTGGGATGATGTTTTAATCTGCAGATTCATGATGCAGAAAAGAATCGAAACAAATTTAGCCAGTTCTGAACAACCAAACCAATTCTAACCCAAGAAAAGGTAGTTCTGACAGAAAAACATTTCAGCTACAGAGAATGTCAAAACAAGGAGCAAGATGCCAACCTTAGAAGAGACAATGTACTCGAGCAATGTAGGACGATGCACAAGAGCCTTTCCAGCGTACTTAGTAACGACCTATTGTTACACATTATTCCAAAGAGAATATAAACCTAAATAAGTTTCTTCAAGCATTGACAAATATATTCCGGCAATTCTTCAAGCATAACATCTTTTTACTTTGTCAAAATTGGAATTAAGATAAATCAAAATATCTCACCGAGTACAATAGAACTCCAGCAGTTCGGTCACATCCATCAGCGACACGAGCCTGTACACAAGACAATTGTGTAGGTAAGAGATCAAATTACGAATATTCAAATCATCAACGAAGAGATTACAAACGAAATTGGATCAAATCAACAGATTGACTAATAACTAGACTAGGTAAGGAAATTGAGAAATTAGTTCTCTTCTATCAGCGAAAATCAGTAACGAGGGAAGATGAAGAGAGAAAGGACTAAGGAGACCTGTTGGATGAGGGCAGTGAGATCGGAGGTGAGATTTCTGTTGTTTTTCACAATGTCGCGTGCGGTTCGCTCGTCCAAACCAATGCAGAGGAAGAGCTCCAGAGATTTCTCATCTTCGTGAACCATGGCGCCGAGAAACTAGGGTTTGTTGATGGCGCCAGAAACTAAAAATCTCCTCCTTTCACTATAATCAATCAAGAGTTTACACTTGTGTTTACAATGGAGATTACACTCGCTCACCCTCAGAATTAAGCCCTAACCCGAGATATACATGAACAAGAATAAGAATTAGAGAAGAGATACCCAAACCCAGAACTATCTCTCACTAGCTCTCTCTCTCTCTCTCTCTCTCTCTCTCTCTCTCTCTCTTACTCTTTGGAATTGCTCTCGAAGAAGACGCGTCTCTGTCTCTCGTAAGTCGTAACAGTCTCGTAACCCTTCTTCTAGAAGACTCTGAATCTCTTAAAAGTGAACGACACCGTGTTAGACTTGCATCACGTGCACTCACGTGATCCTTGAGACTTGAGACTTGAGACCCTCTGTTTCTAGTAGAGGCTTCTTCTTAAGTTTCTTTTAAGTTGGCTAGTTTCCGGTAGTATAATAACTAGGCTGGGAAAGTAATTGTTATAAAGACTTAGGTATATTTTTCTCATATCAATAGGAAAACAGTTAATAAGTAAAAAAATATGGTAAAATATATGCATGCATTGTGATCTACAAAGCAAATGATAATTTTACGAAATTTTTAGCCTAGCAAATCATACCGTCGGATCTTAGAATAATCCAATGCCCGGATCGGAAGATAAAGATCCATATATAGACAAAAGCGGTTGGAGTATAACACAATTTATCGTTTCTTGATTCTTTTATCAAGAATCCGTCAAAAGTTTTTAAAACATTTATTTAATCAGATTTTTTAAAATCTCTATTACTCTTTTCCCAAGAGCCAAATCTTTACACAATAACCTTTAAGATAATTAAAAATCAAATTAGTTTGTAATTTAAATGTAAAACATTTTCTATTTTCTATATGTTGTATACATTTAAAAAAAAAAAAAAAACGCTTATGATCTAAAAAAAACTATGGACCGGCTTGAGTCTAGAAGTTTAAAAGTACAATCAAATTCCTTTTCCATAAACCAGGTTAATTTAAGTGATCTCTGAACAATTGAAGAACAATCTTTTGTATAAAATTACTCGTAAAAAGTAAACTAATTTCCACAACATCGGGACGTACTATTATAGGAGCTTACAAGTTCACCTTAATACAATGTACTGTAAATAGTTTAATAATTTTGTAGCTCATCTAACTAAAGGATTCTGTTGTAAAACCTTTATTATTTCCAGATTATGTATTTATTTTTCAAGATTTGGTATCAGACCTTCTTAAAGTCGCAGATGTTTAGAGCCATTGCACCCATGACTAATTGGAAAATACGATTATTAATCTAAGAAAAAACATATTATAATCTCTAAGCTAACATACATTATTGATCGAAAATACGATTTGCTTCAAACAGTGAAACACAGATACCTTTTTAATTTTTTTGCAAATGTTGATCAACAAAAGGTTGCTTCAAGATTTTCTCATTAAATTACAATTTTAAGCTTTCACTTTATTGTCATATATATATGGATTGATGTACATGCAACATTTTACACGCATTTTACTCTCTCTTTGACCCTATAGTATTCTTCTGTAGCTTGCAAAAAACTTATTGCCAAACAAATATTTTAGTTAAAATGGTGATCAAATCCCTGCATCAACAAGTTCAAGAGATGAGACAATCTTTCTTTGATGAGGTTAGTAAATTTCAAACTAATGCACATATAAGCAATAATATAAACAGCAATCCGGTTGATTTATGCTTAGAATTACTTGTTTTTACTAAAATATTCATTTCAGACATCAAACAATAAAAACGCATATTTTCTGAGGAATTTCGTTTAATCTTTCAAAATAAATATTGATGCAGGGGTACCTCAATAATCAGTATACTCAGCTTGAGGCCTTGGCGAAAGACACAAACCCTAACTTTATTATAGAAATAATAACTCTTTATTTCAGAGATTCCCCTAATGTAATTGCTTCTTTGGAACATGAATTGTGAGTTTCCTATCTCTCTCCATATGAAATTTTGTTGATATTACATCCATGGAAATATGGAATGTATCAACATTGAACTTATATAATGTAAGGAAACATAGTTCGAATGAAAACCAAGATTTAGTTAAAAATAAAACCATAAATAAAAGGTCCCAATTTTGTTGTAATTTGTTTTGCATTTTACTAGAAGGCCGCATAATTAAATTTTGTTTGCCTAGGGGCATATAAAATCTTGGGCCGCACCTATATATATGAATGATAAGAATTTCTATTTAAATATATGGTTAATTTTGGCTAATGGTTGGTTGGTATTTAAAGTTTATGTTATATTTTTGAAACAGGGAGCGAGATCCAATAGAGGTACCCATGATTACCAAATGCATTCTTCGGTTAGAAAGCAGCAGCGCCAGGCTAGTTATAATATTTTTGTAATGTGGTTTGAAATATAGACAAGAATTTAACAATAATAATATATATAAATGCTGATTTCTTTTAATACAGCATCGGTGCTAGCAAAGTTTTTAAGGAACTTAAGAAGGCAAACACATCTCTCAAAGCTGGCAACATAGAAGGGTAAGTATAGTCTTTTCATTTCCTTTACACAATTTTATTTCTGTATCGAATACATAATTGAGATGTATATAGGGAAATTAATGTTCTTTAACAAAAATAGATAATGATGAAAATGTTTGTTTTTGCATAATTTTTGACATATATACTTTGAAGAATAAAAGTAGCACTAGGTGATATTAAGAAAGAGCACAGTGAACTCCGCGCAAAGTTTGAGACTTATTTCCAGGTTTATAAAATTCTCAATTAAAGTATTCTTAATAACGTATGGTTTGTGTGCTCGAATTGAATCTGATTCTAGCTTCTTCACTGTGTTTGTCAGTTGATGAGACAAGCTGGCCCAACAGATGTAGCTGTGAATTCAAGCTGAAAATATGTAAACCAGGGTAGTTTGGTTCGTACGACAAATATTCCACCTGCCCAAACCCAAGTTCCTACCATTGGTCGATATTAGTTGATGATTGTAATAATTTTCGAATGTTTTATTTGTTACCTTGTGCTAGGATCTCGAGTTTATTTTTATTAGAAATATATAAAGTTTGTCTTAAAATATATTAATACAAATCAAACCGTTTTGATTTTATCAAGAACACATTAATTAAAAGTTGACTCTATGGTTGCCCAATTTGAAGGGAAAGAGTTTACAAATGTAAGTTCAGGAAATAATAATCTAGAAGATCGAGCTAAACAATCCGCTTTAGAATTACATAAACGAGAAATAGAAAAAATCGAAAACAAAGAAAAGAAGACACAAAACAATCCAAGTTCATCTAGCAGATTGGAGAAAACGAGTAATTCTTCAGAAGACTGCACCATCGAGGCTAAATTTGTATAATCTATTTCAAACGCTTGACAGTCAATCATTTTTTTTTAAGATATCCTTCATAGCCCATTTTAAAAACTTGGTTCAATGACATTAAGCATTTACACATATTAATGGTTGCAATATTGTCATGGCATGTAATCAAATGATCAAATATCTTTCATAAATATATATCTTAACGTGTATCGATCATGTTCCTCTGGTCCAATTGGTTTTGTGGTTTTTTCAAGATCAATCAATCAAAAAGAAGGATCGATTGATTTGGTCCTCTCTGACTACATCCGTTTTAACCAGAAAAATTGGACCGCTCGTTCTTCCCCTTTCTAGTTTTGATTGGCGTTTTTTGAATCATTTCCAATCAAAATTTTATTTTAAAGTTTCTTTCGAGCGATTGCACTAGATTTGATAACCAAAAAAAATCTAAGATTACATTTTAACTTAATAAAAAATACTTAAGAAGAAACAAAGATACATACCGGTAAAATCACGACACGTCAAATTTATGTCTACAGTATAACATACATATGAATCTTAATAAAAGGTACAACAAAAAGTAAATGTTGAAAATAGGAAATTTAATTTAAAATATAAAATTACTTTTTGAAAATAATATTAATGAAATACATATCTAATCTAGTAATTTATAAAAATATCACGTGGCGTTCGACAATATATGGCACAAAATTTGGAAGGATAAGATTTTCAAATTTATTAACTTTTATAATTACTCAGATAAACTAGAATTAATGCCACCAGTAATCCCTTGTAATCAAATCTGAACTAAAAAATAAGCATTTTTCTTAAAAGTTGTGTGAAAACATAAATTTAAAGATGTTCTTATAGAAATAGGGGGGATTTTGACTACAAATTAAAAGGACAAAATACTAAAACAACCTTGTTGACCCAAAAAAAAAAAAAAAATATTACAAAAATGCCCAAGTTCTTTAACATTTTAAGAAGTCTTATCTTCACAGCACCTTTAATTTTAAAAGAAAAGTGTTCTTTCTGTAATTAACCTTTTTTAAACACTAAAACATAAAGTCTATCCTTTAAATAAATATTTGACTTTTATCATTTGACTCCTTCGTTAAAGTCCGACGTGACGGACATATAGGTAATTTGTGTATAAAAACCAGAAGTGTTCTGCAGATAATCATATCAAGTAACTATAATCGTCTTTGTGTATTTTATTCACACAGACAAAATGGAAACCCCAAAGATCACCAGCCACACAAATCTTCTATCGAAGATAGACCTAGAAAAGCAAAGCCCTGCCCCCATTTTCCCGACAATCACTGAGCTTAAAACAGAAGCTAAGTCTCTCTTCTCCTTAGCCTTCCCGACAATCCTCGCAGCCCTCATCCTCTACGCTCGCTCCGCCATCTCGATGCTCTTCCTCGGCCATATCGGTGAACTAGAGCTCGCTGGTGGCTCCTTGGCCATTGCCTTCGCCAACATCACTGGCTACTCCGTTCTCGCGGGCCTTGCACTTGGCATGGACCCACTCTGTTCGCAAGCCTTTGGAGCCGGCAAACCAAAACTCCTCTCTCTAACGCTTCAACGAACCGTACTTTTCTTACTCACAAGTTCGGTAGTAATCTTCGCTCTGTGGCTCAACCTGGGTAAGATCATGATCTATCTTCATCAAGATCCAAGTATCTCATCGTTGGCCCAAACATATATCCTCTGCTCTATTCCTGATTTGCTCACCAATTCGTTTCTTCACCCTCTTCGTATATACCTTCGAGCACAAGGTATCACAAGCCCTTTAACTCTCGCTACACTCGCTGGCACCATCTTCCACATACCCATGAACTTTTTCCTCGTTTCTTACCTCGGATGGGGTTTCATGGGCGTTTCAATGGCCGCAGCCGCTTCAAATCTTTCTGTTGTCATTTTCCTTGTGGCCCATGTTTGGATCACAGGTCTACACCAGCCAACGTGGACCCGCCCCAGCTCGGAATGTTTCAAAGATTGGGGACCACTGGTAAGCCTAGCAATACCTAGCTGCGTCGGGGTATGCCTAGAGTGGTGGTGGTACGAGATCATGACCGTTCTATGTGGTTTGCTCATAAACCCTAGTACTCCAGTGGCAGCAATGGGCATTCTTATCCAAACGACGTCTTTGCTTTACATTTTCCCATCGTCTCTAGGGTTTGCAGTCTCCACTCGGGTGGGTAACGAACTCGGGTCTAACCGCCCAAACACGGCTAGGTTATCAGCCATAGTGGCGGTTTCATTCGCTGGGGTAATGGGTATGACGGCGTCTGCGTTTGCTTGGGGCGTAAGCGATGTCTGGGGGCGGATTTTCACAAACGACATTGATATCATCCAATTAACCGCAGCCGCGTTGCCAATTCTCGGGCTTTGCGAGCTCGGGAACTGCCCGCAAACAGTAGGTTGCGGGGTTGTTAGAGGGACCGCTCGGCCGTCCAAGGCGGCCAACATAAACCTAGGAGCGTTTTACCTCGTTGGAACGCCTGTAGCCGTTGGGCTAACGTTTTGGGCCGCATATGGATTTTGCGGACTTTGGTTAGGTCTTTTCGCGGCTCAGATATGTTGTGCTGCCATGATGCTTTATGTCGTGGCTACTACGGACTGGGAGAAAGAAGCAGATAGAGCTAGAAAGCTAACGTGCACTGAAGGCGTTGATGTGGTAATAACAACGCAAACAAACGGAGACTTATCGGAACCATTAATTTATGTTGTCACTGTCGCTACTGACTGACATCAATCGTTGTTTTGAGTTGTTTTATTTTATTATTGTGTTGTGAATGAATGATCGGTTTTTTTTGGGAAGGTATTGTGAGAATTTCGTATTTTTAAACGAGAAAGAAACCAAAAAGAATCGGATTCATAATTTTGATCCAAAGTAACTTTGTCCTAAGTATTTGTACTTCATGCTATATATTTTAGAGATTTGTTTTCTATATAATCGATAAAATGGTATAATAAAACTCTGATCAATTCCTGAATTTAAAATGTTCGTGTCATCGATAACTACATAATATTTTTTGTTATCAATGACGAGTCATTGTAATTATGTATATATTTTTTGGTAATTAAGGCTCTTGGAGTCATGTTTACTTGTTACATGGAATAGAAATTGTCTGAATAAACCTGTCTCTTTTCTTAAGAGTGTTAAGCCTCTTTTCACTTGATTTGGTCATTGTCCCCAAACATCCAAACATGTTTTAGAATATTTATACTAGCCAATCCATGATGTTGTCTAAAGATCACCGCTGACTTTTGTTTTTTTTACATTGGTTTGACTTTTTTTAGTTGTTACGTTGTACATATTTGACTTTTTATATATTTCTAATTTTATATTAGAATTGCTCCCATGTATATAAATTACAAAATAGCTTACAAAGCAAAAACTATCAAATAATACCCAAGAAGTATAGTTAGTAATAGCTGATTTGTAATGTGAAATGATGGATCCTTTTCCTTTTTGAAGCTTAGCCGATACTTGGTTAAAGATTAGTACTAAAATATTTATTAGCATTTGTACGCCTTTTATTTTATTTTTGGGGTCAAATAGCATTTGTACACTATTGGCATGTTCTAGGCTTTAAGTATAGAGTTTACTTTTAACCAACGTAAAAATATTTAAAATTATGTTTCGACTTATGACTTTTCTCAAAGAGACGTGCTTTTCGATTGGAGTCATGTCCAGAAGACACTGAAGCATGCTCATTTATACAAGTCCACGTATTTAGGCTTCGAATAGTGTTTTTCCTCTTACTTTTTCCAAAAATTGATCTTTTCTCCATCTTGTGTAATACAGATCTACGTGTTATATTTCAAAGTATGTACCGGTGAATCATTCTCTTGTGTTCAATTATTTTAAAATATTGTACATAATTGTCATACAAAACCGGATTTTATAGGCATGACTAATAAATAAATAAAAAACAAAAAAAATTGTTACCGAAACGAAATGAATTGAATAAAGTTTTTGTATAATAACTATAGAACGCTGAAAAATTAATTTTACCAGATTAATCATGTTTTTTTCTAAAATTTTATTTTTAACATGTTAGTAGTATATATACCGGAATCACTTTTCCAAAACGTGAAAACTTATTGACATTGAGTGGTATAAAAAGTAGAATCACGTTTTGAAAACGTTAACAAGTGGTATACCACTCATCCCTAATGTGTAATTTGATTACCAGTTCATTTTTTTTTATCTACTAGTTTTTACCTTCTTCTTTTTTTCTCATGAACCAGTAAAATATAGATGTGGTCGCGTACAATGTTTTGTGATAGACGTATTTGCTTTCGTATGTCGATATAAAAATTTGTTGACAACATTTTCGTCAAATCATATAAAACTATGCCTACCTATGACTATCTTTTTTTCATAATAAAAATATAGTGCAAACCCTATCGTGTGTCCTCCTTGCACAAAATATATATTATATGCTTGCTAAAGAAAGAGTTCCATTCATACTTACTAAATTTTACCAGTTCTCTATCCTTCCTGCACATAGCATATACGTGCTATTTATCTAACTTTTAGCTCATGATTACTAAAAAAATTCTAGCTGTCTATCTATACTTTGAGAATTTGGATGTTCATGTAAACACGACGTCGTCCACCTCGCGAAAATTGGGCTAACAAAATATAGATTCGAGAAATGAGAGAGCTATTGAGGAGGAGAAGAGAAACATAGGAAAGAGGTTTGTCGACACAGAGGGGCGTGGGAACGAGAGTGTATGTAATATGGATTCTTTAGCCACCGTACTTGATAATCTCCGCAATAAACATAAGATTCGCATTAAGAGATCCAAATAAAGTTAACAAAATTTTACGAATCCTACACCAGAAACTTGACTGCGTCTGCAACAACTTTCTCGATAAAAAAGAGACCTAAGAGTTGACATATAACTCACCATCCAACATTGAAAATTCTAGGATTTCTAGATCCACGGGTTCTTCTTCACTGATTTTGAACTCAATCCAGAGCTTGTTTTCTGAAAACACAACAAAAGCTACGTTAGTATATCTCGTCTCAACACAACAGTCGTGACAATCCCTCTTAGCTGCTAAACTCATCATTTCTCACTTATGTACTGAGTTTACTGACTACTGAAGTCGAAATTCAACAAATGCTGGTATAATTCAAATACGTAGACATCGATAAGTAAAGGTTGAATGGGGTTTAATAATATGCAGGATTTTGACTATTTTTCCCATATTCTTTTCAGGTGCTTACCGATTTCAGTTTCTTTGTTCTACCACGAATCCTGTTCCTGGGAGGTTTCAGCTTGTATATCCGAACCATCCAATGGTGACTCGTGAAAACCTGATGACAAAACCAGTCACATTTACCAGAATCCAAGTGGAATCAATGCACCCCTGGTTTGTAGTAAAGAATTTAAATCTCACCTCTTCGAAATGTGTGAGCTTAAAATTCTTCTTCCCAATCTCTGTCCGCCTCACCCGATCATAACCTTTACCATCTGTCTCTACAAACCTGGATAAAAACATTAAAAACTGAGTCTTGTAAACAGAGTTCGAGGTTACAATTACAGGAAAACATCATACCTGTAGTAAGAAAGCTTGTACATAAGGCAGTTCAACATTGTTGGAGTGGCCTCAGAATCAATTCGGTATTGACCATCTCTCTTTGCAAAGCAATTCAAAGGTAACCGGGTTCAGATTCAAAGTCTTCAAATTATTGAGCCATCACAACTTGTTTCTAAGATCAAAAGAAACAAAGCAAAACAAACAGAAAATATACCAGATAATCAGCTTCCTTTATATGAGGGAAGACGCCGCCTCCAATACGAACCATCCACAGAAACTTGTTGATGTCATCACTTGGGTAACCAATAAGACCTGTTGAAATGATTGTCCGATCAGAGAATATACTTCAGAGATAATACACAAGAAGACGATGTCATGAGCCAAAGCCAAACACATACCACCAAAGACGACAAGAACATATTTCACATCCAAGGAGTTGAAAATTTCCCACGCCGCCTTTTCAGGAGATGACATAGCAGTGCCAACAGTTGCAATGTGAGTATTATTCCAGGTGTTGTTGTCAACAATAACAGTTCTATTAGCCATAGCTGTCGTCTGATAACCATAGTCCCACCATGATGCCACCTACATGATTTTATTTTTGCAAACCAAACTCAGGCAACTTCATATATTAAAGACAGTTTATACTTCTACCAAAGAATGCTTAACAGGATCTAAAAACTGACTTGTTTTTGTCGAAAAAACTTACTTTATCATCCACATCAGTATTATGGCTTAACCATGCATAAGACTCTCTAAAATCATCAAAGACATGTAGGCCATCACGCGACTGAGATGTCAAAACTATTGATGGAGCTGAATATGCTTCCGCAGCTGCCCAAACACAATGGATCTACAAAACAAAGGTACGCATTTGGAAGTTTTATCATTTGAATTTTGTCGTCTAAACTAACTGTAAAAGATGGGACCATAACTAACAACTCGAAGAAAGTCTGCATACCACATAGAAAGCACCCAACATTATAAGGAGGAGAAGCGCAACAATAGAGGCTTCAAGAGGCAAAACAAGAGCCTTCTTCTTAATCTTAGACTTAACAGAAGGTTTATCAGCAGGTTCTCTCTCTTTCTTCTTGCCCTTTTTGGAAGACCGCTCTTTTACAATCTCTTCACCCTTGTCAGTCTTACCAGCAGAAGCATCATCTTTTGGGGCATTGTTCGTGGAAGTGTTGTCCTCTGCCTAACAGTCGAAACACAACATTTTTGTCCAGAACTTGGCAACACAGATGATTCATCAGAGAGAATAAAGTTGAGAGAGAAGCATACTTACATCATCTGTGGAATTAGACGATGCACCTAACTGGTATTTGATGGAACCCGTGAAAACATCAAAAGCTTGAGAGAGCGCAATCCCAGACATGATGCATGCTGCTGGAGCAAGCACGAGCATAAGACGAACCTAAGAGATCAGGAAGACAGGTGAATAAAGGGTTGAATAAAAGAACTAGGCAACAGAAAGATGCAACGGCAATTCATAGACACACAACTCACCATAACTCCAGAAAAGTATACAGACATTACAATGTAAAGGACCACAAAAGAGCTGGCATCAGATAGAGGCGAAAAGCACGCCTACCAACAGAAGATAAAAAAAGAGGAAAGAATCAACACAAAATATTTGGACAAAAAGTAATGTAATTCAGCACAAAATCTGACTAGTAAATACAATCAAAATTAACTCACAATGATGCCAGCAGGGACCAAGAAAGCCAAAACATTGATATCCATGAAATAAGATGGCCAAGTTGGAGGTTGATGTTCACTGACACTTGCAATAATTGGAATATACTTGCTTGCATAAGTTCTGTTGTATGATAGATAAAACCAAGAAAAAGAGTGTCAGATATGTTCAAATTATAAAATGATAAAGTAGGATTCCTGAAATGTGGACAAAGACATACTAGAAATTTGCGAAGAAATTAAATTGCTAGGAGAAATAAAGATTGAAATGCTAGAACCACTCACGGATCAAGTAGACTCAAACTCCTACCACTCCATCCTCCTGTTGGACTTGAAGCCACCAATGCAACAAGAATTGCCACAACTATGAAACACACAACCCTGTAAAGAATAATGGAGCATAGATAAACATTTTACCCCATGACGCATAATCCAGAAAATCTAGAGGTTATCCCATCTGTACTAGCTATGTGCAGTTGGATCAGAAGCAGATAAACTCCTCTTATCAAGGTGTGGTAATCGTAGACATGTCAGAGAGAAACAGTATAAGAAAGCGTACATGCCGATAGACACAACAAGTGTCACAGCAACTTTGAACATTTTCGGAGAAAGAATGCCTTTGATGTAGTATACAAGAGCTACAACGTGGATGATGATGAAAACCTGCATAAGTTATCGATAAAATTTGCTTAACAAAAGTAGAAGAAATCAAGAGAATAAGTAGTAGAAGATTCTGTCAACTTGCACAAACATTAAGTATAAACCTAATATATCCATCTCTATGCACTTTCTTCGTACATATATTAACATATCTTACAAGAGAAAACTTAGAAATTTAAAAAGGCTTCAATGTTTTTGGCTTAAATAACTCTACAGGCATCAACCAGTAAACTCATGTCCACAAAACTATGCACCGAAAGGACTAATCCATGGTTAATTTATGAAGAGGCATACATTACAAAATAATGAAGAAAAAACTCACCAAAAACGAGGCAAAATGTTCAGAAGTCAAAACCGCATTGAAACCAACAACAGGCACCAATGCAGCTAACAGTGTGCCTAACACAACCTGCATACACATGCGCACACTTGGTGTCAATAACTTTCAGTATCGCGTCATTTCAGCTATTTTTCAGCATCCTACGTGATACATACAACTACTGGTGTAGGTTGTTAAAATATTTTTTATCTGTCACCAGAAGGAAGAAGATTCTTACCAAAGGAGCATAGGCAATGTACAGTCGGGGAGAGTATCGCCCAGTTACAATGCACAAAAGCACGTGCATTGGTATCAGATTGATAATGAAGGTGTAACCACCCCATGAACATACCTAATGATGGAGAAAAACAACTGAAAACTGAGCAGAAAATAATAGTGAAGAGGGAAAGGAGAAAAAAATGGTGAATTATCCCAGGTCGTACCATGTAAAAGTATGCAAGGGCATTCAGGGTGGCATAAAATAAGGAACCTGTATTTAATGTCTGCATAAAATTCATGATAAGGATCACCGGAAAGAATAATTAACAGGACTGGCGACTAAGAAACAGAGATTTACAAGAGAAAGTTTGATGTTGGTTGCTGAAGGAATTTTATTATACACATGCTCCAAAGGGTGAAAAAATCAAAACAACTTTACATGCCATTGGAGAAAACCCTAACCTTTATGTAAAGATAAAAAGTGAAGATCAAAGCAAAGATGGCAACAGCTTCATTGTCATAGCTACCAGCTACAGATCGGGATATATATGAGGGAACCTGCAAAGGTAACCATTTAGTAAAAAGAACTAACATTCTAAAGAATCGCATCAATAGAAATTTGTAGCGAATTCCAGTAAACGATGTAACAATGCTGAATAGAGTGCATGACATCAAATAACCAAGTGATAACCTATTAAAAATCATAGCCATGATGTTCTAGAAACTTAATGTTTGCTGTTCAGAGTTTTTCTATAACATCAGATAAAGAAAAATTTCACGTATACCAATTGACTAAATTACCATGGCCAAAAGAGCAGCAGCTGCTAGTCCTGCACCGGAGCCCTTAACTTCCTGTTAGAATGCAAATAGGTACTTTTGATTAACTGGTTCTGAAATTTAGTAGAGAAATCATGTAAAACAAAAGACAAACCTTGGTCAAAAGGTAAGTTGCCCAGGATGCGAAAGCTGAAAATACAGGTGCAGTGAAGACACAAACAGTCTCTACTGACAGAGGAATGTTTAACGAATTCAAGACCCTGTGGCACATAGATATAAACAAATAAAATTCAAAACGGACCCATACGTGTGTATCAAATAATTGCTGAAAACGGTGAAACTACACTCACCACCAGATGGTTCCAGCAGTCAAAGTCAACCCAGGGTAAACAGTTCCTCCAATCACACGGCCAAGAGGATACCTAAAATCATATAAAATGAGTATAATGCTATTGAAGACAGTAATAGACCCAAATTTCTGATCCTCAAATTACCAGGTCCGATCATCAAACCAATTCCAGAACTCGTATATTCCATTCTTCGATAAGAACTGAAATAAACAAGAATTAAAAGGAGAACTCGCCCATAAAGCTAAAATTAATATCCTGGAAATAAGAAAAGAGAGTGAACCTGAGTGACTCTATAATTGAAGTAAGGATCAAACTCATGAATCACACTTTCATACTTTATAACCTGAAAATAAATTAATGAAAGTTACTTCAAATAATCAAAATGAAAAAGCATGAGGTTGCTAGAATAGAACAAGAATTAGCCTCAGCTCCAGAGTAGCTAATTCAATGTATTTTCCCAATTTTCAAATAAAATGGAACAAGACTCTAAGCTAAACCACTTATATCACTACAACGAGAGGACAATATCCCTCCAAACGCTGGGTTAAATAACAACAACAATCGGTTTTTTAACACAGAGACATTGGGGAAGGAAAGGAGCTACACCATTCAATTGAAAATCATGAGATCGGATCTACAATAGTCGGATCTAAACTAGACCGATCGGATCTAAAGCCTAACATATTGAAGAACACTGAAATGAATAAACCAAGCAGAAACATCAGTGAACTCACAGAGAAGAGTCGGATCGAGAAAGCAAGGACACCAATGAGGACGAGGATCAGGACTGATAGAACGTTGCCGAAAGCATTCCTCATCGCAGTCGGCGTTCCCGGCTGTGGGCTCTCTAGAGCCGCCATTTTACGCGGCGGAAAGTGAGCTCTCGGGCTCGATGAATCGGATATAGAGAGTGAGGAACAAGGACAGAAACGACTTCAAAGGCCGAAGGGTTTTTGGACGCGAGAACTAACTATCTCCGGCAAAACTCTCTCTCACGGGAATTACATGTTAAGCTGCGGTAACTATGGTAAACAAACGACTGACCCAGCCTTCGTGGATTTAACACATGTCATGTGTTCATTCGCCACAGGTTCTTGCGTGATGTAAAATAATCAATCAAATCAAACCGGTGAGCGACTGAGAGGAGTTGACTTTCCAAACCGATGAAATATCCGGTCAACCAAAACCTCAATTCAAAATATCAAGATTGTGGTTTAAATCGGTTTAGTATAAACGTGGATTACCGGATTTTTCCATGGATATTTTGGTACATATTGAAATTTAAGAGAGTGATATTTTGCGGCTAACTCTCTAGGAAATGTGATTGCAGAAGTGCGGATATGTATTTGTGAAATGACGTTTTTTCTTTTGCAACACTCTTGTACCATCTTTTATACGGCAAACTTCTTCAGTTCATTAACAAAAAGGTACTTCTGTCGGAAAGAAAGATTAGAAGCCCAAAACTTGTAACAAGTTAGTAAAATGTGTAACATAGCAACTTTTCAATACTGAACAATCACATGAAACTATAAAGATAAGAACGCAAGGGGCAAAGTCAAAAATATGAATCAAAGTATTCAAGTTAGTGTTGGTTGAAACTTGAAACAAGAACAACCTCAGACTCGGGAATTCCCTTTTACAGAGACACAGTCCACATACTATTACAGACCAAAAACAAGTATTGGTTTACTTGCAAGGGAACACTAGAATTTCAAAACGTTTTGATAAATATCCATGACAAGAGCGATTTCATTAGCTCTTTTGCACTTCTTTATGATAAACACCAGACACATGTATATTTCGAGGAATCTGTGTTTTACCTGATTTCCTGAATTCGATGCCCATGCTCTCAAGTCTGAACCACGAGGAAGCAGACACTCATAAAAAGAGCACGACAAGGAATATATCCATCTCTAAGCAAATAAGTTAGAATCTATTTGCTCCACATTCGGGAAGATTTGTCTGACCACAGCAACATAATCAGAAGACTTGGCCTGAGAGGAGATAGACAACACAAAATGATAAACTCGAATTAGATATCGTTTAATGGCTTAATTCCTATTAACATCTTCTGAGCCAGAGAAATTGACCATTTATAGAAGACACTGGGTCTCACCCAAGTAAATGAATTGACTGATGCAAAAAAAACTACAACAAAGTTGTGGTACTCAAGTTTCTTAAATGCATAAGAAACTTTATAGAAAAACCCAAGGTTTCTTATGCATCATCAAAATATACAGAAAAAGGATATATCTAAATTACGATGTGCATTGAAGAAGATCAGCAATGGGATCATATGTGTATCTTTAAACTGACATTCCATATCAAAAGGTATAACCAAGATAGGATATCCTACAATAATGAATGACAAGAATTTTATGAAAAAGTGACTAAAGATTATGATTAAACTTACACAAGGGTTATTTTCGAGGTAGATAGTGGTAAGCTTCTCTTTAGATCCTGTAACAGCTTCGGTGATTGCTTCAAGTGATTCTATCTGGTTGTCATTAAGCCATAGATCTTCCAACCTATAGGTTAAGGTAAAGTCAGGATGGATAAAATCACCAAAAGACAAAAATCGGAAAGGGAATGGTGAAATACTTTGTGAGGTTCTGAATGTCATCAACTGAAGTAAGCTTGTTGTTCGACACGTCCAATACCCGTAGGTTGACCAATGCACTCAAGCCTTCCATTTTGGAGATACCATTATGGCTCAAATATAACTCTTCAAGAGCAACACATTCCTGGGCACATAATATTTCAAGCATCAGAAGAATAAAATGCTGGCATGAGGAATGAGTATATCTGCAAAAAGGTAAATGAATCACACCTCAAATCCTTTCATAGAGGTCAATCGATTACTCTGCAAGCTAATCTTTTTTATGCATTTGAGCCCACACAGGTTGACAACTTTGATACGGTTTCTTCCGAGCCATAATTCTTCTAATTTTGTGAAGTTTTCCAGATTTTCCATTACCTGAAACCTCAATGCTTTCAAATTCATTGCTGAAGCACTGTAAAGCGAATAAAAAATATCAAAGAGGAGGGACAAACCCGCAATCTATTAGACCCCAGTTCAAGAATCTGCAAGTTGTGTAAGTGTTCGATCTCCACAATCTTGTTAACTTCATTTTTAGACACATAGAGCTCCTTCAGTGTGCTAGAGGCCTTGGATATTCCTTCCAACGAAGTGATTTCATTGAAAGATATGTCGAAAACCAAAAGCTTCGTGAATATGTTGATATCTGGTACTTTTGCGAGCTTGTTATCTCTGAGAATCAGCTCCTGCATAAATTAAAGCAAGAAACACTCTTCTTTATCCACTGCCCACAAAAATTTAAGCCTATATCTAGGACCTCTCAGACCATAAATGCCAATTTTCAATTTCTAGTGAAACTCAAAAATGAAATATATGTTTTATACAACAAGAAATACAAAATGAAATTATCCAAAATCAAATGGTTCCACGGCCAACAACAAAATCAGATGCCTAAAATGCATATCGACTTATTTCACCATTTACAAATCACTCCTAAGATTCAAAAGAAAAACCAGAGAGTGGAGAATCACCTCGAGATCGGACAAGGCGTCCCAGTGAGACAGCGGCTCTACGGCGGAATCATCAATTAGGTTCTGGCGAAGAGAAAGCTTCTTGAGCGTGGAGAGCTGAGCGATCCTCGTGTCCAATCCCGACAAACGGTTCGCCGTAAGGTCCAGCTCAATCAGGGTCGGAGGTAACTCGACCGTATCGAGACTGTGGAGCTGATAGCTAGTGAGATCGAGAACATTACTCGAATCGCCGATCTCTTCCAATGGCTCGTCTTCCTTCTCACTGTTCATGGCTTTTTGTTTCAAGCTCGCGATGACGACAAACGAGCTTTGTGGAAACTGGTCTAAAGCGAATTTCTCTTCAACCAAAACGTTGACGTTTTAGGCACACTTGTAACTTTGTTGCCGGTAGGGTTGCTATAGTGGGCCTAAAGCCCATGATTAGGCCCATCATCAGGTCGAAATTAGAACAGAGTCAATATTTACATAGTCAACTTTACACACTCTCACACAACAAACAAGCACACTGGATCTCACTTTTCACCATAAACAGTCAATACTCAATAGTATATCATCTACGCTTGGCTTGGAACACTCTGTTATACCAAATAGAATGCAAAACCATATGAAACAGATCGTATTTCTCAGGTTTAGCATGCCACAGAAAGTGCCTTTGCGCCTTTCTCACCGCCATTTGCATCTTCACGTATTTCTCTTCTGGTATCGACAACAAGATATCTTTTAACCTCGGGATGTCTTTCTCCGCAACAATGACTGAGAACGCACTCCAATCAAGAACTTCAAAGAAAGGCGGCACAAAGTTATCGGATATAATCACAGGGACACACTCATAGAAAATCGATTCAACCACCCTTGGGCTGTTGACCTCGTACCCTTTAGGACAAATGCAGTACTTGCTGCTTTTCATCTGCTCAATGTAATTCATCTTGCTCGCCACACCAAATGGCATTCGCCCGAAGATTTTCATGTCCGGGTCTTTGTCTTTCCAATGCTGCAGGAGAATCTGACGCAAGTAACCGTGCATGCTTCCAGCATAGAAAGCCAGAGTCCGCCTCTGAGACGGCGGTTTTCCACCCAAATCACGAAGCGGATTTTTGGCAGCTCGGACGTATGTTTCAGGGAGTGAGATGTCTCTTCCAATTTTAAAGCCTGCGGTTACGTCTGCATTGCATAGAGCTTTAATGCAATGCTCCATGTGGTGCCTAGTCTCATATGGTGCCTGTTTAGTGAAGCCAAATTCAACATGGAATATTGTTACCCATTGAAGAAATGATTAGTTCAATTTGAAGAATTGAAAGAGATGCCTACCCAATCATGACAAGCAACAAGAAAATGATCGGCTCCATCGGTTCGATTGAAGAAAGGGTACTTGGAACTGATGTGCTCTGTATATTCCTTAAGAAACTGGCGTAGATTAGTTCGGTTGTGAGAATTACGCACATAAAGTGTGTATTCTAGCATCCGTGCACTAAATGGCATATAGTACAAGTGAGCCTTTCTTGGGTCCTTTACAGTGTACTGCTTGTTTCCTTCCATCAACTTCATGAACCATCCCTCTGATGCATACAATCCCTTGAGTATCGGAGTATGGAAAATAGGGCGGTTTCCTTCCTTATATACATACACCTTGAGTATCCGTTCCATAAGTTCGTAACTCCTGAGGCATATAACTGAATCGGGTATGTCAAGATTACCTTTTATAAGAAGACACTACCAAACAGAACGAATTTGTGAACTAAACATACACAAATAAGAACTCAGGCTTTCTTTTTCTTTTTACTCTCTTCACAATACTAACTTCAAACAGAAAATGATCTTAACTTAGGACCATATGATGCGGATTTTACAGTAGGAGTAGTGCTAAACTTTCATCTACATAGGACTAGCAACACTACTGAGGATTCATAAATTCGTGTAATACCATTACTCTTTTCATTAACAAGCAAACTTCTGCACTTTTACCTCTTAAACATGGAAACATTGCGGAATATTGGAGGGTAGAGTTGCCGTTCAATTGTTGCAACTGGAGGAGCATTCTCTATCTCCTTCCTTGCAGTTAATATCTCCTCATCTCTCCTAGAAGACCAACGCAGTCGCTACATTGGAAGCAGTAGTTCTCTCAATTGCATTATAACTAAAGTTCCACAGGTAAAAAGAATAAAAAAGACAGCTGCACACATACCATTGCGCGTGAAGTTCTACGGTGCCTTGCTAAAATCCGATTCATCTCATCCATTTTTGTTACAGATTTTGGTGGAAGATCACACCGCATTTTCTTCTTCTTACTCACGTTCTTAGAAACAAGCAAGGAACTATTTCCAAATGCAGAACCAGCTATGGAGAAGCCTGCACTTGACATAGAGCTCTTCACATTCTTCTGACTTTGAACCGACACATTTTGCACCTGATGGCCATTATTACTGGTTGAAACACTCTCATTTTGCATTACAGTTGTCTCTGAAGGAAAAAGACTATCACTGCTTCCAGCAACTTCTTTGATGATGATACTGTCTTTTGCATCTTCAAAGCTCTCAAAATCAACATTTTCAACAAACCCTTCATCATCCTCAGACTCATTTCTTAGACCAAAATCTGGAACATACCCATTTTTCTCCAAGACATGAATCCCCGAGCCTGCAGAATCCTCAGAAACGTTAACCGCAAGAGTGTTTCGTGATGGAGTCATCAACGCATTGTTCTCATTGGGAAGTTTCAGTCTTCTACCATCAGGCAAAAGATATCTTAAGGCGTCGCCATATGAAAGTAACAACAAGATATGAGTAAGGGCGACAATACCAACCAAAATAGCCCATTTCCTCTTTCCACTTCGTGACTGTTTTCGGAGCTCAGATCTAACCTCCATGATAAGGAGGAACTACACAGATTCAAACCCAGAAAACATTCAAGTTCATGTATCTAACAAAAAGCCTCAAAAACTTATCCTGCCGACGCATTCACGAAAACAAAAAAAACTGGAAAAAAACACATAATTTCCAACGATCTTGATCTTAAATTGGAGATCGAAAACAGCTGTTACTCCATTCAGAGTAAATTAAATATCTTGAAGTGGAAAAGACATGAAGATGCACCGACGGTAGAATCTTCAAAACAACTCCTCCGACCCAAGTGAAGTGTCTGTATTTGGTGTTGGTCTTCTTCTCTTTGACGACAATTGACTAATTTGGCGAAGATAAACTAAAAAAAAAAAAAAAAACCGAACCAAAATTCATAGATCTGAGCAATAAACCGAATTTTAATAACCGGTTGCTTAAGCTGAACCAACAAGCCGGTTCAAAAGTCGCTCCTCTCCACCACCAAACTCTGCAGTGTGTGTTCATGAGAAAATCAAATTACATAGAGTGAAGCAAATTTCCCCGGCGACGACGACGACGACATGTGCGTGTGTGAATGAATCTCGCTATCGAACCCTAATTCAGCCATCGCCATGAAGGTGCTCGGAGGAGCTTCTTCATATGCTTACAGATCCTGTATCCTCGTCGGTTTCCTCTCCGTTTCTCTCTTCTGGCTCCGTCCCAGCACTTACCGTCTCCAGCACCAAATTCCCAATCCGCAGAACGTAACTGATTCGGAGTCTGAAACTGCAACGAAGACTAACTATATAATCCGATTTAAGCAGTATAAGCCGGCGAAAGATCATCGAATTTACCTCGAATCGAAGGTCCGATCTAGTGGTTGGGGTTGGATCGAGAGGATTAACCCGGCGGCGAAGTATCCGACTGACTTTGGTGTTCTATGGGTCGAGGAAAGCGGGAAAGAGGCCGTGGTTGGTGAGATTGAGAGGCTGGAGATGGTGAAAGACGTGAACGTTGAGTTTAAGTACCAGAGAGTTTTGCTTGGAGGATCTTTTCTCGACGGGAAGAAACGTCCAGGGAAGATCTTCACTTCTATGTCTTTCGAAGAAGGATCTGATTCTTCGCCTATGGCGGATACAAGTAACACCACGTTAAACTGGAGTCGACATCTTCTCGCTAAGGTGAGAGATTGTCAAGTTACATAGTCAATATCTGTTATTGTTTGCTCAATTAAATTAGTGTAGGGGAATGCAGACACACAAATTCTTCACATGATTTACTTATTCGATCTATTGGCTAATTTTTTCGTATCGTAAACTGTAAGTGAGGGCTTTAATAAGTTACATTTTTGTTCTAATTTGCAGAAGACTCAAGTCACGTCCATGTTTGGAGCAGATCATCTCTGGAAGAAGGGGTACACTGGTGCTAAAGTTAAAATGGCTATATTTGATACCGGAATAAGAGCTGACCACCCACATTTCCGTAGGATCAAGGTACCACTAATTGGAGAAACTGATAAATCATAGTATTTCTCAAAGATTTCTGAGAAGTGTGTAGTGTTTAAAATTACTAGGTTTCTTTGATCTACTTGTCTTGTTAAGCTCTGAAGCTGGTATTGACGGAGTAACTTTCAGGAGCGTACGAATTGGACAAATGAGGACACTTTGAATGACAACCTGGGCCATGGGACATTTGTTGCTGGTGTTATTGCTGGTCAAAATCCAGAATGTCTTGGTTTTGCCTCAGACACGGAAATCTATGCTTTTCGAGTGTTCACAGATGCCCAGGTAATGCATGATCACACAACAGATACATTTTCTTATGCAAGTTGTCTTAATCAAATAGGTTATGATAAGTTTGCGCTCAGCTTGTTGCAGGTATCATACACCTCATGGTTTCTTGATGCTTTCAATTATGCTATAGCAACAGATATGGATGTATTAAACTTGAGCATTGGGGGACCGGATTACTTGGATCTGCCTTTTGTAGAGAAGGTACTTGTTCCTTAATCTCTTGGTTGAAGTTTGCGTTATCCGGTTGAGTCAACTGGTGGGGTGTTTCTCTAGGGTATATGAACTGTAGTGTGTTCCAGAGGCACTGATTTTCTTAGAACAGGTTTGGGAAATAACAGCCAGCAATATCATTATGGTGTCTGCAATTGGAAATGATGGGCCACTTTACGGAACGTTAAATAATCCAGCTGACCAGAGTGATGTCATAGGTGTCGGTGGTATTGACTATGATGATCACATAGCTTCATTTTCATCTCGTGGCATGAGCACCTGGGAACTTCCTCATGGGTACTGTATTTCGTTGCTGCTTCTTCATTCCCCTTTACAAACCCTACAATTGTAGAGATACAAAATGGCTTGTTTTCATGCAAATCCTGACTTAAAAATTTTGCTTACAGATATGGCCGTGTGAAACCAGATGTGGTTGCATATGGCCGTGACATTATGGGCTCCAAGATCAGCACTGGTTGTAAAAGCTTGTCCGGAACAAGTGTGGCTAGTCCTGTTGTTGCTGGTATTGTTTGCCTGCTTGTAAGTGTTATTCCTGAAGCTAGAAGGAAAGATCTGCTCAATCCAGCAAGCATGAAGCAGGCGTTAGTCGAAGGTGCTGCTAAGCTTTCAGGTCCTAATATGTATGAGCAGGGTGCAGGAAGAGTTGATCTGTAAGTTACTTATCCATATTGGTTATCACCATTGGGTTCTTTATTTTTATTTTGATCCTAGTACATTTTCGTAGTCTCTAATTTTTCGACTCTTTGTCAGATTAGAATCATATGAAATTCTAAAGAGCTACCACCCCCGGGCGAGCATTTTCCCGAGCATTCTTGATTATAATGATTGTCCATATTCCTGGCCCTTTTGTCGTCAACCACTATATGCGGGTGCTATGCCTGTTATTTTCAACACGACAATTCTTAATGGTATGGGTGTTATTGGCTATATTGAAAGTCCACCAACATGGCATCCTGCAAACGAGGAAGGAAATCTTCTGAGCATCCACTTTAAGTACACAGATGTCATATGGCCGTGGACTGGATATCTAGCTTTACACATGCAGATCAAGGAAGAAGGTGCACAGTTCACAGGTGAGATAGAAGGTAATGTAACTGTGAAAGTCTATAGCCCATCAGCCCCTGGAGAAAGTGGGCTTAGAAGGAGTACTTGTTCTCTTCAGTTAAAACTGAAAGTGATTCCTACTCCACCACGAGCGACACGTATTTTGTGGGATCAATTTCACAGCATTAAATATCCTCCTGGTTATATTCCAAGAGACTCTTTGGATGTCCGCAATGACATACTTGATTGGCATGGTGATCACCTGCATACAAACTTTCACATCATGTACAACATGTTACGCGATGCTGGGTACTATATTGAGACTCTTGGTTCGCCCCTTACATGTTTTGATGCTCAGCAATATGGAACCCTTTTGATGGTTGACCTTGAAGATGATTACTTTCCAGAAGAAATTGAAAAACTCAGAGATGACGTTATCAATACAGGACTGGGTCTGGTTGTGTTTGCTGAGTGGTATAATGTCGATACCATGGTGAAGATGAGATTCTTTGATGATAACACACGCAGTTGGTGGACTCCAGTCACTGGAGGTGCGAATATCCCCGCACTCAATAACCTTCTTGCATCATTTGGGATTGCGTTTGGAGACAAAATTCTGAATGGGGATTTCAGTATTGACGGTGAGCAGAGTCGATATGCTTCTGGAACAAACATAGTCCGGTTTCCTGCTGGTGGGTTTTTGCACACTTTTCCTTTACTAGACAGCTCTGAGAGTGGCGCTACACAAAATCTGCTGCTAACTGGGTCATCAAAGGTAATGAGAAACCAATTCCCTCTGCTTCTAACTGTGCCTTACATTTTCTTAATTGAATTGCAGAGCTTTGTTTGTTATAATGTTGCTCTGTTTACAGGAAGACCCTGCTGTTCTTGGGCTTTTGGAGATTGGTGAAGGTCGGGTTGGTGTTTATGGAGACTCAAACTGCCTGGACAGTAGCCACATGGTCACCAACTGCTACTGGCTCCTGAAGAAAATGCTAGATTTTAGCAGTTCAAAAATCAAAGACCCTGTACTTTTCTCAAAATTTGCTAAGAGATATTCACCCGTAATCATAGACGAGAAGCAACTGCCATCCCGAAGAACTGATGTAAATTTTTCAGCATACTCTTCTGTGATCGGAAAGGAGCTAATCTGTGAGAGTGACTCCAGATTTGAAGTATGGGGGACTAAAGGATATAACTTACATGTCAGAGGAAGGAATCGTAGATTACCTGGTTATCATGGCATTGATTTGGGTAGAGGCTTGAATTTCACATTGGAGAATACAAGACCAACTCGTTGGAGATCAGCCGAGCTTAGTTCTTCCAGGAGCAAGTATCTGGGAGGCTTTTTCAACAAAGACGAGGTAATTCATGTAATCTTCTAGTTTTTCTAATTAATTTTGGAGGGACCAGAAAGTTTCTAACATCGTGCTCTCAATTTGCAGATTGACATGCCATTTCTCGTTGCTACTCGCTGGATCGTGCTTGCTGGTGTTGTAGCTAGTGGTAATATACTCAACCTTTTGGAAGATATCTAGTCTCTGTTTAACCTTTTATTGCATGATCAATATGATTCTTGTTACCAAAGTACGCTATCAAACTTTTGTGGTTGTGTTGTAGGAGTTCTAGTGCTACTAAGCATTTGGAGAATCAGGCAGAAGAGGCGTAGGCGGAGAAGAGCATCTGGGTCGAGTCGATTAGCCTAGCTTATAGCCGTGTCTGGGTCCAGTCTTTTTTTTTTTATATAGCTTTTTCTACTGTCATTTAGACTGACCACAGAATGTAGTCTCATTTTTACTTGGGAAACTGGCAATTTTGTTTTAGGAAATCATTTTTAAAAGCATTATCACTTCAAAGAGCAAAGAAAAAAAATAATAATTCAAGGAATTATAATTTCTAAAAACACTAGTCTTCATTTAAATAAAAAAAAGCCAGTTTATTTGAAATGCATCATACAAACCCAAATTAGTGTAAAATTTGAAATTCAAATAGGAAGAGGCTGAGATATGGTCCCCAAGCGGCCAGCACACCAAAACCTAACCAGTACGTAAAAAGGGAAATTAGATTAGCCAATAAGCATATTCACTTCCAAACATCTGACCTATAATTCCTCCTCCTATTTCTTTTAAATATACTTCAATTGTCCTTAGAAATTTGCATTTAGAAAGTCTGCTCTACCAGCTGAAAGTTAGTCATGCTAATTTAACAAGGCTATATAGGCTGTAGTGGTCCTCCACTTGGCCAGGTTCTCTGTCTTCATTGGGGTTCGATCCCCATAGTGGGATAATATGCATGGGCTGCTCTCCACTGCAGGAAAAAAAAATCATGTTAAAAAAAAAAATTTGTATCTTTTCTTCAACATGTTAAAAGAAACGACTGTGGAGAAGATTAATATTTATACCAGTATTCAATCGTAACATTAATGATAATTCTTTTTGTAAAAATGTTATTAGTCGGAATGCACAGAACAATCCTAATCTATATAGACATTGCAGTTTTAAATCGAAAATACAAAACAACTACGCCAAAACATGCAATTTTATTAATGATAATATTTCTAAAAAATTCTATATGTTCAGTTTATTAAACCAAACTCGTGTGGAATAGTCGAATGGATGGAATGTTTTCCTGATGAAGTGGAATGTTTTCCTTTTACTGAGGATTTCAAAAATAAACATTATTTGCAAGTTTTGGAAAAATTTGTTTATAGGTAATTGAATCTCTCTTCTTCTTTTTTTTTGTTACAAAAGTCAATGTTATTTATTTATTTACTTCCACATATAATCTGACTTTCGGTGATCATCGTGCACCACCTTTCTGTGTAATTGTCATTTTCAATCATTTAATTTTGAATTAAGTTGCCTTTTTGAAAAAAACGATCACACTCCAGAACCGATGCACGAATTCCGGGGAGCAGTTTCGACTATGCAACGTTAAATAAATTGTATTATGATTTTGTAACGTTAACGAAAGATTGACTATAGTACTTAATTACTTATGGTACAATGCAAATCCTTTGAGTTACAATGATAAAATCTTCCAAGTAGAAGAAGTTTTAACAAACTTTACCATATAGTCCTACAAATTTTTAAACAATTGCCTGATAATGATGAATTCGAAAAGCTAAAGAAACTGACTGTTATAATTTTAAAAAAAAAAAATCAAAGAGAACTGACTTTTACTAGTCTACTAGATGCCAACCATTACAAAACAGTTTCATGTCAAATTTTCAAAATTAAAATATTTTAAAATTAGTGAAAAACGAGCAAAGCAAGGTCAAGCGTCTCTACCTAAAATAAAAACAGAAAGAAAAAAGCAACAAGGAAATTCCAATGGTTAATTTTTGTGTCAGCAATTCGAATAGTTTAAGATAAAGACGACAGTGAAATGACAAAAGACATTGCAGAAAGAGTTAAACGTAAAAAGTTGTAATCATTAAATTATCATAAATATTACGAAATATGAATGCCAGTACAAGAAAAAAAAACACAACAGAGAATTTATCTCTCCTTCCCTCAAAAGTCTTATATGACACGACCTTTAATACATACATCATCTTCTTCATTAGTCTCTCTCTCACTCTCTCGATATTCTCTAACATGGAGAAAAGAATGAAGCTCCGGGTTTCAAGAATAGTCCGGTCATCTTTAAGCTCTTGCCGACCACGAGATCTATACGACGTCGTTGAGACTTGTGCTGTTACAAGTCAAGCAACGTCTTCCGAGAGGTTCTTCGTTACCGAAGCCAAAACCAAAACTCCACGACCAAAGACGACTTATGCTTCTTCTTGCCCTCGTGCGTCACCGATATTCCCACCAAACCCTTTCTACGAAGAGAGCCGTTCATTTCGAGATTTGAGGAAGAAGGTTAAGACAAACCGGAAGCAGAGATCGCAGTTTGGTTCTGATCCTCTCTTTGCTTCACGTTTTAAGTCAACCGGGTCTTGGTACTGGTCTTGTAGCGAGGAAGAAGACGAAGGAGACAAAGAAGAAAGTGAAGATGATTCTGATACTCTCTTTTCTTCTAGAAGCTTCTCCTCCGACTCGTCGAAGGCGGAGAGTTTTGCGGTGGTGAAGAAGTCCAAGGATCCGTACGAAGATTTCAGGACGTCAATGGTGGAGATGATTGTTGAGAGACAGATATTTGCAGCGGCTGAGCTACAACAGCTTCTTCAGTGTTTTTTGTCGTTAAACTCTCGTCAACACCACAAAGTTATTGTCCAAGTGTTCTTAGAAATTTATGCTACCTTGTTCTCTCCCTAATTTCTCTATCTACCTTTTAACATCTTTTGTAAAAGTACTATGTTGAATCTTGAATCTTGCTTTAGTGTTTGGTTCTTTTTTCGACCTAGATTCTTTTCTCTTTTTTCAGATTATCTTTGTCTTACCTTTCTCTGTACTTTTGTTTTCATGAACCAAATTGAGTTAACTCCAAATAAAATTGCAATAACAATTGGTTACTTTACAAGAAAACGGTAGGCCTTAAATCAGACTGCGACATAACATTTATTAGAGCATTGAACACTTTATCAAAGACCTAAAGAATTTTATGCGGTGTAGTATAAGACAAGACAATATATATAAACTAGACATAGTATAACATATGAAATATCATGATTCAAAAATAAGAATATTCAAACTTTTAAATAGATTGAATATACAGACTACATTTAACTTTTTTCTGATATGAATATCAAAATTAAATTTATTATACAAAAAAAAAACTCTTGCTTTACGTTAAGCTTGACAAAAAGGTTATATTAGCTTTAATCTTATGAAGATAACAAAAGAATTTATTTATTCAAAAGACTAGCTATTTATTATGCTCTGCTTTCAGTATTCCTAACGAACACTTGAAAATTTCTAGAAACTAACAAAGATCGTCTTCTACCAAATAAAAGAAACATCTCAAAAGATGACTTGAGGCTAAAACTTAAAATCTAAACAGAAAAGAAAATCAAACTTGTTCCAACTCAGAAACAGTCTTCTTCAGATTACCACCAGAACCGCCCTTGATGCTATCTTCATCATGACTTATGGGTTGGTACCACTTTGCAAAGACCAAATAAACCACGAAATCGATAGCAGCTAATGCGGCAATCAGAAAATAAAACCGATCCATATGACCTTCGTTGAGATTTTCCGGTATCCATCCGGGGCTACTCTCACCTCTTTTGGTAATTGCCATAACAATATTAACCATCAAACTGCTCACGTAGTTACCTAATGCCATCGAAGCCATACACAACGAGCTTCCTAAATTCTTTAACCCGTCTGGTGCTTGTCCGTTGAAGAACTCTAACTGCCCAACGTACATGAAAACCTCACTTGCTCCCACAAGCACGTACTGCGGAATTTGCCATAAAATGGTGAGCTCACTCTCCTTTTGCCCCGGGACTACTCGTCTCAGCCGTTGGATCTCTGTTAATCCTGCAGCTACCATTGCCATTATCCCTATGATCAGCCCTATCCCCATCCGCATAAGCTCTGTGGGTCTCACGTATGGAAATATGATGTGGCGGTAGATTCCCGTTGATACAAAGACGCTGATTATGTCGAAGACCGACATGCTCGCTGCTGGGATGTGGAATTTCCCTACGTATGCATTCATCACATCACCTTGCTCCACAAACAATGACGCCATTTGTGTGAAGATCACTGAGTAGATTATAGTGCATAGCCATATTGGAAGCAACTTCATCACACATTTTGCCTCCTCTACTTGAGTTACACTACACAACCTCCATGCAGTGCTCCTTGTCCCGTCCCTGGATCGAGCAATTTCATTAGTTAAAACTTAAAAGATGACATTTATATAAAGTATATTGTTGACCACTACATAGAGATTATTGGTTTATGCTATTGTTACCATTGAAATAAAACCAACATAATAACAAAAAGAAAATGAAGTATGTTGTTTAATTATATATATATATATATATATATGGTTTACCTATCATTCTCTGTAATCACTGCTGCTCTATCCAAGAAGAGAAATTTGGTACTGTGAAATATCTTTCGACTTCCTTTAATGGCGGATTCAGGACCTTCCACTTCGTACAACTCATGCGGATCTCCTGGTCGAACAACACTCCACTTCCGAGCAGTGGCCACGAATACTTGCGCCACACGAGGCAAAGGGTTCCCACATGGCTTGACATAACGATATTGTTTTGTTGGGGCCAGAAAGGCCACCAATGCGACAATAGCTGAGCCTAGTGACACCAAGAAACCTTCAGTCCACAACCCTTTATCCTCAAAGTAAACAAGGATTGTGTTTGAAAAGAGAGCTCCGACATTGAGGGCAAAGTAGAAGTAGCTGAAAAAGGCAGCTTTGGAGTTTTTATCATCATCAAGCTGGTCTGCACCGAAAGTAGCCAGCGTTGGTTGGTGGCCTCCGTATCCAAAGGCTACCAGATAAACAGATAAATAAAAGATAGCAACTCCGAGGGAAGAGGGAGTGTTGCATTCAAGGTTCCCATCACCACAACCTCGAGGTTTTATCAAGAAAAACCAAGACACAAAAGAGAGTAGGCCAACACCGATAACGAAGATGACTTGAAATATCGTGCAAGTCAAGTAACGACCCCAATAAGAGTCGCTAAGAAATGCCCCCACGAGAGAAAACATGTAAACAGTTCCGGTCCACTTGCTTACATTGTTCGCAGCCTCTGCATTACCTTGTCCCATAACACGTGTTAGGAACAACACCAGGTTCACTCCCACCCCAAAGAAGGCCAACGTCGCTAACCCTTGATTTACTGTTCAAAGTAATGGTAAATTATGTAAGATTATTTGAACTTATAAACAAAATCTTTAATTTTAGTATAATCATATATATGTCATTACCTAGCAAAATGATTGCGTTTGTCCAGCCACCCTTCTTCTTCTCTTCTTTCTGCATCATCTTTTTCTGAAGGTCAGAATCATTGGACATAAGAGACAACACACTTTGATCATCTTGAACCTCTACCACTTCACGAACTTCCAAATTTTCTGCTCTCTCCCGCTCCTTGCAATATAATATCACATTCAAATTAGATTCCGGAGAACTATTAGTTAATTTATATTTGTTAAAGTCATAAAGGTTTTTACATACATTTAGCGGATCAACGTAGCCATTATCTCTCGGATCCATAGCGGCCATTTTAGATATCTGTACAAAATTTAGATTTGATTAGGTTGTAGTGAAGAACACGTACATATAAATATATTAACGACTAACTTGATATAATTTTCATATATGATGCAAGAAATCTTGTTTTATATATATTTTTAAGCGTTTCGATCGAGATATCCAAATTCACCACTAAAAAAAGTATTAGAAAACAAATAAAAATTGTACTTAAAAAGTATATATATATATATATATATATATATATATATATATGTGGTAAGCAAAAAGTTGTTCATCCCTAAAAACAATTCCATGTATTATTTTATGTATCAAAATATAACCTAACCTTTTTCGAACAATCTCCGGCGAAGGAGAAGACGTTGTGTCGACGATCAGGATTGGCCGGAGAAACACTGTCGATGCAGAGAAACTAGAAACACCTTTTGTCATTTATGGTTGAAGGATTAGTGTGTTGTAGCTTTCTAACGTTTGATCAAAATTGAAATCGAGTATTTAACTCAGAGAAACAGATCAGAGAGCCAAGTGAATCTAACAATAGAGCTTAACAAATAGAAGAAGCTCGTTGGTTCTTATATAGATATCATGAGAAGTTAGAGCCCTAATCTAGTTGTTGCGATTGTTTTGTGTAACTGGCCCTACAAATATTACTTACCTTGAGAAAATAGAGGAGTAAAAGCTTCTAATTTGTTGGACAACAATAGACTTCTTCTTCATTTTTTTTTATTAACAAAAGGCTTATTCTTTTTTTTTTTAAACTCGAAACAAGAGATATATTAATTAGAGAGAGTAAAGTTCACTCTCCTTTTACCCCGGGACTATTCGAAACAAAAAGACTTCAATTCCTTTTAGGAAAATTATTAACCAAATGTTTTTTTCATCTTAAATGGAAGGAAAAAAAAGAGGAGGATATTAGTAGCTCTTTGAACAAATTGACCCAAATTACTGGCAGAAAATGGAGGATTGATTGAGTCAAGGTCAAATTCACTCTTCAGAAATAATTATAAGGGGTTGACATAAAAAGGACAAGCAAACAACTTTTTTATTAGTCAATCTGGTGACTTATTAAAATTGTTAGTGAACAAAAAAAACGCCATTAATTATGATCATAAGAAAATTCAAACAAAAATAGAAAACCAAATATATTTTTGTTTAATAATAATATCAAACAAACGTTTATCTTACTTAATACTATATATAATTTTGAGCTACGAATATGAAATAATTAATGTGCACATTTCTTACTATATAATTTTAATTTATAAGATATCAAATCATCACTCTAGCTAACAGAAAAAAAAAATCAAATCATAAATTTATTTATTATGAAACTAAGTTATTTTATACGACATATCACATATATTATCGAATATTATTTTATTTTAGTTAAATATATCATCTATATAAATATATACATTTTTAAGTCAAAACTAAAGACTTTTTTGTTACGAAAATTATGTTTTGTTACGATTTTCGATTTTTCAATTTCTTAACACAAATTCTACTAAATATTTATCTCACTAGATCATGACCCGTGCTATACAGCACGGGATTTAATATTTTGTGTAAATCAAATTGTATATTTTGTTTGAAGAATTAAATAATAATATAATATAATAGTATAGTATAAAAGGGAATATATCATAATATTTTATTTTTATTATTATTTGGATATAATGTTGTATATTTCATTTGACGATGGTTGTATATTTTGTTTGTAGAACTAAATAATAATATAGATAATAAATTTTAAATCTATATTCCATATCAAATTGGACTATTTTATTATAGGAATTAAATATTGTTTTAATCTAACTTGGTTGAAAAACATGACTTGGTAATAAAGAAAGAGAGAATATTGTATTGTATATAAAATATATTTAGCTGCATTAAAATTCTATTTTTGTTTATATGAGATGAACAATTTATTTGGTTCAATTAGGTATTCATAATTGAATTGTGTCATTGAGAACGAAAAAAAATAGGGAGACTCACAAAAATGCCCCTTTTTCAATACCCATTTTCAAAAATGCCCCCATTGGCTGTCCATTTTTAAAAATACCCCTTTTTATATACAAAATGACTAAATTACCTTTCTTTTAATAAAAGATATCACAAATATAAAAGGAAATATAACAAAATTAGGTCCACAAAATACAAAATATTTTTTGGCGGGAAAAGTGATCCCGCAATTTTTCCCGCCAAAACACTTGTAAAAACTTGTAAAACCTTTAAAATACCTTGTAAATTTTTCCCGCCAAATTTTTTCCCGCCAAAAAATTTTCCCGCCAAAAAAAAATTTTGCGGGAAAAGTGATTC